CGGCCACGGGCACGCCTACTCGTCCCAACACATTTCCAGACATGATGGCCCCGCGCATGTCGTACACGTGCACGGCCACGACGGGCATGGTCACGGCCATGGCCATGATCATATCGACTATTATGTAAGTACATTCAATAACTGGGCAGATAGATACATCTTCTCAGTACTATATTGAGGAATGTGGTAACACATTGGCCTAAGAATTAAACGTGGCATGGGGTCGAGTTTGCAGCAATGTTAAGAATTAATTTATTTGTCAATTATTCTGTCTTAAATTTATAGTTTAATTTGTTAGAAACAATTTTATACAGGATAATTATACATTTTACAACTAAATAATGTACTTTCTACAAACAAAAATACTTATTATAATTATTAATTGTATTTACAAGTAAATATTTCCTAAATAGCCTATATATTACTCTGTCCTTTATCTTAATCTCCCTGCTGAATAGACATAATACCGTACATAAATTGTTCCTATTATGTTATATATAATGTAGAAGGATTATCTCTTGTAAAAATATTCATAAATGTATGTATATTAATATGAGTATAAAAAAATTTCAGGCCTATCCAAAATATGAATTTGAGTACAAAGTAGAAGATCCCCATACTGGCGATAAGAAGAGCCAACACGAGTCCCGCGACGGAGATCATGTGAAGGGATTTTACTCTCTACACGAACCCGACGGTTCCATTAGACATGTAGAATACCATGGGGATAAACACAGTGGGTGAGTATAAATGCGTCATATTTTACAAAAAAAAGCACATGGCACGTCTGATGGTATATGATTACTTTGGACATATTCTATCTAGGTTATAGAGTCATCTGCGTGGGTCACTTTGTCACACCTGTTTTAACGGTTTGACACATGCACCTCCTTACTTCTGTTGGTAGCAGGTTCAATTTTATCACAATATGATTATTTATAATTTACTACGATTGTTTGTATTATAACAAAAATGTTTAGGTAATCTTCACGGGTTCTAAACATAGCTGTTTAGTACCCGTGGTACATTTATATTTAGTTTAGGATATATATATTTAGTTTAGGACTAGATAGCGCCGAGTATAATGTATAAGATTATTATATTATTATCATTTTATTTCAGTTTCCACGCTACGGTCAAACACAGCACCCACCACATAGTTCCTGTCAAACATCATTAATCTGTGATATTTACTTAGTTAATAACTCTCTGTGATTTATAATAATGTGATATTATTAATGTTTGCAAAAAATTTTTATAAATTTTGTACTTAATATAATGTTATTAATTTTATTATGTATGTATTATTAATGTTTCAATAACCTGACATCAGCCCTACCGCAAAAATTTTAATACTTTGAGACCCAGAGTATTAATATATCCTTAACAATTTCGAGAAAAATAATTCAACTTTTGCATATAAACCTCAGAAGAACATTATACCTAGTATGTTGAATATTAGAATGTATAATACTATAGCATACAACTCTTTAATAACCTTTAAGTTGTTTAGAGTTATGAGGAGTAAGGAGGAAGCTTAAAAATATTTTTTTAAAGAATTATTAATATTTATTGAAGCTGTATATTAAAAACGTTGTAACATCTTTCCTTTATTTGAATTGGATGGATCATTAAAAAATAATCACTTTTCCTATATTGTAAATTGTTGTTCAAAGTGTCTCATTAATAAAATCTAATAAATAAAATTGCAGTGTCAAATTAGTTACCATACTCCTCCGAAATGGCTTGAACAATTTTTATGAAATTTTATATGCCTATTAAGTAGGTCTGAGAAGTGGCTACTATCTATTTTACATACCTCTTAGTGATAAGGGTTGTCCACTCTTAAAATTATTTTATAATTGCGCATAAAAAATACATACCACACAAAATTTTCAAACTTATATCACCAACCCCTATTTTCTAACAGTGATTTTAATTTATATGCTAAAACAACGCTTGCGGGATTAGCTTGTGAGACATAAAATTGCTTCATGAGTTCATGAAATTATCATTTATAATATTTTTATTATATATATATTTATAGGTCAAAACAAAACTGTACAAAATTAAAATGCACAAATCGAAGATCGTAATTGATATTTTATTTAGGTCTTTTATAAAGTTACTAGAGCAAGACGAATTAACTGTATTTACAGTTATGACCTTTGTAATGGTGATCACTATGATTTTGCTGTTTCAACCGACTTTAAAATGGAGAAGGTTGTCATTTCGATTTATATTTTCTTATTCATTGTTTTCAAATAACACAAAAAATTTGAGTGGCTAGGAAATGCAAATACCTTTCTGAATTTACTGAAATTATTTATCAATTTGATTGAATAATTATCTAAATTATTATACAGAAATTGGCTATAATTAATTCCTTAACAAAGGCGTTACTGCTTGATCAACTGTCTAACGGAAAGAGACTATCAAAAATCAATTACAGTTATATTTATTCTAAATAAAAAAAAGATATTTAATCATTTTGATACATTGATATAATTCTAAAAATAAGATATAAAAAACATAATATTTCTAAACACTCCTAATACTTAATTATTATTTATTTACTACTACTAGGCCTCACAAGCATTACACTATAAAATATGCAGAAAAAATATCGTTAATAGTAAAATTACTTAGTAATAACAGACCGTATGGTTATTACATATTTTATTATCATCGTTAATTATTTTACTACCATTCATTTCTAAGTTCCACATATTCAATAGTAACTTGATCAAGTTACTTACAAATCGATTAATTTTGAGTTCAGTTACGATCAAACAACATTCTTTATATTATATCATTTAATATTAATATATATGAAATAAAATTATTATCATTTTAATAAACATATTTGTGTAAAAAATTTAGAAATTGTTAATAAACCTTTGGTTTACCTTAGTGATAGTCCTGGTTACCTTTTAATAATGTAATCATCATAATGAATATAGTAGATAATTATTTATGTAATGTACATAATAAATTAGATTACCTTACTTGAAGTTTTGACTAGGTTGCACTACTGTGGACACTAGCCGACTATAGTAGAGCGAGGTAAAGTCGGTAGATGTCAGCAGTTTGTTCAACTACCATCAGTAAATAATCCGACGATAAATAGCTATGTATACAGCTCTGACGAATACGATACCTACACTTATTAACAGATGATATTGAAATTTGTTAAATTTATTTATTACTGTCTTCCATGCCATAATAGCTAATAGCAGAACTATCTTCCACATTGAAATTCGAGTATTTTAAAATCTAATCTAATCTCTTTTTAAATCTCTATCGTTTCTATAGTTTATGTGTAGTAAACGCGAAAGTTAAAAAGAACTTACGCAGAGTATTTCTTCATTTATCCCTACTCAATTAAGTATACCTATAGGAACAGCATGTGGTACGTACCCATTTTATGCACAGAATTGTATGCTACAATTTTAATTTAGCTACAACTATGAATACTTATAGCATACAAGTTAGTAATATTATATATATATATATATATATATATAGCCGTGCCGATCTTGCATTGTATTGACTATTGTATGTACTATTTGAAATCGTAAAATAATAATCTCTAGACAATTCACACGGCTAGATCCAAGTTAAGCTAGCTAAAGCTTGTGTTATGGGTACTAGATAACTGAAACAAATGTTTCGATAATATTTTTCCGTAAATACATACATACTATAGATAGAAAACACCCAGACCGATACAAACAATCATACTTATGAATACAAATGTTTGTGCCGTGCGAGGAATCGAACCCGCGACCATCGAACGTAAACTGGCGTGCAAGACCGCTAGACGACCGAGGTCATCATGAAATAGTATAATAGTGTTACAAACAAACAAAACAAAATTCAATTGAGAAGAACAGGCAAGAAACTCAGTTGAATTTCTTTTTTTTCAAAAGTCAGGGTATTTACATCGTTTATTTATATAGGTGTCTATGTCTAATAATAAACGAAATCCCGTGCATGAACAACTATTGTCATGCACGCTCGTCGTTCAAGTAATCGTTTCGAGAGTAATAGGGTTTGCTCAGTAAATATGATTTAACAGATGTTTTGAATTTATTTAAGGGTAATTCCAGTATATCCTTTGGTGTCTTATTGTAAATTTTTATATCCATTGTCATAAAAGACTTACTGACTTTTTCTAAACGATACTTGGGGACAGCATATTTATTTTTAAATCTAGTATTTTTGATGTTCATTATGTACCTGAATGGCTGTAGATGGAGATAAAGACAAAAAACATGGTGGATTGTATAAAAGATTTGCATAAATGGAGAATAAGCACAGGTATGTGGAATTATAATCACTGCTGTCGGCTGTCACCCACCCAAAATAATGGAATTAAGGTGACGTTAATAATGGGAAAATAAATAAAAAATAAATAGTAAAATAAGCAGTCAAGAGGACCTTGCAAGGATAAGATTTTAATTGATATATAAATATCATACCAATTTTTTTCCCTCACTGCTTAGAATCCTCTAATTATCAAAACTATTATATTATCATATTCATATACGTTCCATAACTCTATGCACCAAAATGTGCACAAACAAAATCTTCGAATATTTTTGCATACTCAATGTTATTTACCCTTTTAAATAAATTGAAAGTTTTAACATACCTTTAACAGTTCTAGTTTCATCATATTATAGTAATATTATGATTGTATCTACGAGTACATTATATTGAACCAATATAAATCAATATTAACAATAACAGTTGAAAGTAATTAAATGCAATAGTGTCCCCGAATAAGTGTAGATAGCATGTCCAACAAATGACTTTACGAAATCATTACAAACGCAGTATACTTGCGTACGAGAACAATCTTAACTGCCCATTAGGTGAAATCAACATTGCCTTGGTTACCCTTATTGTAGATATAAAAGTCGTGGGTTTTAACTAAAATGTATCAGTTCACCATTGGATTTGTTATTAGCACGCCAACTAAACAATAACAAAAAATGTTCTCTAAGGTAAAACAAGTGATTTTATAGTTGCACAATTGCAGTGTTAAAAAATTTACAAAAGCACTCGTGAAGTGTTTATGTGAAAAACAAATTGTGGTCATATCAAATGCCTAGATATTTTTAAAAAAAACTAGTGTTCAGTGTAATAAAACAATGTTCAAAACGTTACCAGCGGTTCCTTTAGATATGAGTATTATGCGATGATTTTAATCTCGACAGCATTTGTGTTATAACACACTATTAATCAATAGATACAATTAATCTAGATATATGCTAGATCAGGTTACAGTTTTAAAAATAAATTTATATTATGACAACATTCATGATGCTAAATTAATATATTTTAGCCTCTGTAGTATGCACCAGTATGTATTTTATAAAGATTCTCACGTTCTATACTAAATAATCTACAAAATGTCCAGATTTTAAAAATGTAATTTTAGACATTGATAAAATAAATTATAGTAATTTACGATTAAATATATGCATTTATTAAATAATGCCATAATATTATAATGGTTATTGCATAAACAAATAACTAAAAAAACATACTACGGCGTACATATCTATCGATAAAAACTAGATATGAGCGTTAACTTTCCGAATTCAAATTTGAATATAATTATTGCTGATTTTAGGTCCTGTGCCTTGTTGCTGTTATCAGTGTGGCGGCCGCACAGTACGGTCACGGTCACGGCCACGCTTACTCATCTCAACACATCTCACGCCACGATGGACCCGCGCATGCTGTGCATGTCCACGGTCATGATCACGGCCACGGTCATGGTCATCATGACCACGTCGACTACTACGTAAGATAACGGAATCCGACTCGTTACTAAATTGGTGATGTTACGTAAAACGTTGTGCCATTCTTGATTTATTAGAGAAATATTTATAACAATTTTTATCATGGAATTACAATTGTATATTGTTTTATTTATTCGACTCAGTCTTTAGTCTAATAATTATTAGTATGTACTGTCAAAACTTTTCTTTAATTCTTACAACTATTTTTACGAAAGTATGATACACAAATTGTCTGTTTGTTTGATAAACAATTTTCGCCTAATCACTATTTATTGCCTTTCCAAGATGAAATATCAACCAATCTACCTCTGAAGACTTTATCCTATTATCCTATTGATATAATTGTCAACATAAATACCAACTGATTTCGTAGCAATTATAAGAAAATGAAGTAGTTAACAAGATAAACCAAGAGCGTAAAATATAACAATTTTATTTTTTACAGGCTTACCCCAAATACGACTTTGAGTACAAAGTGTCGGACCCTCATACCGGTGACCACAAGAGTCAGCATGAATCCCGCGATGGTGATCATGTGACCGGTTACTACTCGCTCCATGAGCCCGATGGCTCCGAGAGGACTGTTCACTACCACGGCGACAAGCACAGCGGGTATTTTTATATTATTTGTCTTTTAACGCTAGGTTCCTTTACTGACCAGAGAATATCTACAGGCGGCTATAGATTCATATGGACTTCTATACTGGTCTCTCACTACAGATCAGTTTGAAACTCTACACTGTGTTCTGGATTTCAGGTTCAGAAAACAACAAATTTGATTATTCCGCCCTTTGATTATTGGGTCAATACCCAGGTTAGAGACCAGTTATTTAAAAAAAAATTCTTCAGTCATTTTGATGTGAAACATTAACACACAAACATACAGTTTTCACCATATCACGATTTTACAATAACATAAATTGTAAAGATACCAATGAACATTAAAACAAGCTTCTTCCATTTAATAATGATTTAATTTTTTTAATTTACAGTTTCCACGCAACCGTCAAGCATCAGACTCATCATATTGTGCCCCACCATCATCACCATCATTACTAAACCTGGAAACGGTTAAGGATCCTATGCTTCACTGTGATTTTAATTATAATTTATTGAATGTATTTTTTATGTTTGTACTTTAATAAACAGTATTAAATTTATTTTATTATTCTATTCTTTATTGAAATACCATATTATTCGTATTTATCCACTCAACGATGTTAGCAATAGTAAAAATGATAATATTTACATGATTAGTAATATATTTTTATATAATAATAATAGTTTATTAGGGCATAAAGTTTGTTTTCATAGTTCAAAGTTTCGAGTTAAAGAATCGGTTAGTGTGAGAGATCCATATTTTAATCTGATAACATAAAACACTGAATAGCTTCTGAAATTGATGTCAGTTGAATTTAAATTAAACCGACCAAATAGAACTGACTAAATAGACAGAAATGTTAGTTCAAGGTACAACAATATGCACATTCCGACAATAATAAACAATATTTCCAACAAAGATGACTGTAGATTGTTCCAATAATACAAACAGGTTTGTTATTAAAACAGGCACAACATTAATTTTGCTGTAAAACAATGAACACTGTTACTATTTAAATAAAAACAACAATAATTCATTTTGGGTACTAAAACAAAACAAAAATAAAACAAAACTTGTTCTCAAAAAATGTATAAGAAAATATTTTACATGTACATATAGTTATAAAAATGAAACTGACTATAAACTATAATCTTTTAAAATAATATGCAGCAAATTTATGAATTTCACCACTGCTATGTACCTACATTTATCGATTTTACGTATTGTGTTTTTAATCAAGGCATCATAGAAGCCGTATATGATGCCGTATGCAATGTCGTATCTGTGTTTGTTATTCTAGTTAAATAAAAAAATATTATAAATTAGATGACACTAGCAAAAAGTATAGAAATTAAAAAGTGAATTGCAAAATGCATACAAGCCATATATAGAGTGAATTAAGAGAGAATATTGAACAGCCATGATAATCATGATTGCTCTATTTTTTTTTCTATAGTTCAGAATTACTAACTAAGAGACTAGATATCAAAATATACTCCTACGGTCTTTAGTTAAAATTATTATAGTTATACCAGCTCCTAATTAAACTAAATAGGACCAAATAAATAGGACTTGCATCATACAGCTTGTATGATGCAAGTCCTATTTATTATGACATACTTAACATATAGGTACTTTTAAATTACTTCCCAGTATAATGTTTGTTCAATTATTATCATTAATAGAAATGTTTGCAATGGGAGGAATGACACTCGATATCGCAGAATATTAGACAGTATATGAAAGTATACTAAAGTTGTCAGTTGACAGAAGTATGGTCGATAATACATGCGAATATTCTCAAATAATAGACTAGATACTAAACTACTACATATAAAAAACATATTTTTTAATAAAAGATAGGCTACCTCTATTCCATGAAATAATTTATATACACGTGAAGTCATAAAAACAGACATTTCTATGTTTATAATAAGTATATAAATATAAAATCGTACTTACAAATATATAGTAAGAAACACAAAAAGATTCAACTTACTCGTATACCAAAATGAAATATATATCTATTTCTAGCAAAAATTAAGCAAATTTTTATATCCTGATACTTTAGTAGGAAAAATATTTTAAATTACCTTAATTTCATAATGAAGATGATAGTAACCTGCTTTTATGGAAGGAAAAAAAATACTCTTACTTAATAATAAAATCTGTATCAAGCACGAATGCCGTCAACATGCCAAAAATATAACAGGCTGGATTCTCAACTAAGAAAAGAAAAAATTACTTTGATTAAACTATTTAAATAATCTCTTGCTTTGTCTACTATCAAAAATAGATGAGTATAAGTATTATGTATGCAACAATATATGACATATATAAATTGTACAACAGTTTTAAAAAAGATTTTTTAAATTAAATAATAATAACAGTCTTGAACTTTGTCCAGAGCTATTATCATTATTACACACAGCACCATTTAGTCCTAAGATCAACAGAGCTTATGTGATGGGCTTGTCTAGTACAAGTGATAGAAGTAATTATATATAAATAACCTTTACTTAAGTACACGTCTTTTATTACAACAATACAATATACATAGAAAAATCTGACATGTAACATAATAAATATTTAGATATACTTTTGTGTAATAATACATAGAAAACAAACCGATACAAACAATTATACTCATTAATAGAAATGTTTGCATCGTGCGAGGAATCGAACTCGCGACTTTCAAAATTAAAGCGGTGCGCTAAACCACTAGATCGTCGAGGCCGTCTAAACAAAGATAAAATCAATAATAGACTAGTGCAAAGCCGGGTCTCTAATTTTTATTAATTTGAAATGAAATATCCGTCTTAAGGTATTTTAATTTGTAATTAATCTGTACTTTAATCCATTAAGTATATTTATAGCAATCTTGAACCAAATCTACCCTTCCTCAATCAACCGATAGACCTCGTTCTAACAACTGTAATAATGTATGAGGAGTTATGCCTAATTAACTTCAAAATACGTGACGCTAATTGGCTTCTCTCAATCTTACATTAATCTATCAAAGTGATGTGTAAATATGTCATGTACAGTCAGTTTCATATAATAACTAGCTACTCGCCCCGGCTTCGCACGGATGTACATGTATTATATAGATATAAACCTTCCTCTAGAATCACTCTATCTATTAAAAAAACCACTTCAAATCCGTTGCGTAGTTTTAAAGATTTAAGCATACATAGGGACAGACGGCGACAGCGACTTTGTTTTATACTACGTAATGATGATGATAATTTATTCAACATTCATAGAATAGCATTATACAATGTAGGACGATTTAGAAATGGTTAAAAACTAATGTTGTATTATATGCTGAAAGGGCATCTACTTAGCTCACTTACATCAGATTAGAGGAATTATCTTGATAATGTATGTATATTTCTATATCGACCACAGCATTAAAAAATATTATTAATATTATTTTAGGAGACAAATTCAATTTTATTTTATTGTATTAACTATATCTTTTAAAAGTCTTTAATATCTTCACTTCAAATATTCAAACTTTGGTATTTTCAATTGGAGATGTTGTATTGTATACAAACGTGTCGTCCTTATGTAACTGATTATGTAAATTATTTATGACAGTTTCCGAATATTTCATATTTTCATATTGCATATTATTTTATTCACAAATGTAACAAATCTCGTTACACAATAGCACGTCAATAGTAATTACATTTTTAAGATAATTATGTCACAATTACAATTTTAAATATTCAAAATAATAAATTAAATAATACCTATATAACATATCTATAAAACTAATAAAAGTCACTTAATGGAAAATGTCATAATTTTACATTGGAATTCAGATATTCCGTCACATTGTAAAAAGGATGTTACTCGAAATATGATTTTATTTTGTTCTTAAATTCTGTTGATGTCAATTCCATTGTTTATATATATTTATGTAAATATATTCCGAACTAATTAGTGAAATACTTAAAAAAATATAATATATGTCACATTACTGTACAGTTTTCTTATTAAAAAAATAAGTTGGTATAGGCTAAATGCCTATACTATTATTACCATTAATTTGTATTAGCAATGTCATACGGCCACCACGAGTAAACTTTTACGAAATTATTACAAACACTGCATACCAATCGCGAGTAATTCTTAATTGCCAATAATTTAGAGTACATTACGTTGCCTTCGCTACCCTTGTTATCGATATATAAGTCGTGTTTTTCAATCAACTTATATCAGTTTGCTGCTAAGTTTAGATAACAGCACAAGAAACCACAAAAATGTTCAGCAAGGTATATATAACTTTTAATAATCATAAATATACGAATTTAAATTGAATTCCAAATTCGAAAGTGGAAAAGATTAAACTTTATAAATTACTTGTAGTATTAAAGTGCGGGTAACTTCCTGAATCTTCCATTAGGAACCTTTTTCTGTTTCTTTTATTGAGTAGAAAATTCTATGAAATTTCTATTTCCCTTTGAAGGACCAATTGACCAATACGAGCTACTATTAACAACTATAAAATATTACATTTTGTGATGTTACTTCTTTGGATGTTTTACTAATGATATCCATGTATAAATAGAATAAATAGAAACAAAATGTAAGAAAACTATTGCCCTAATATACATATTTTTATTACAACAGAAATATTGCTTCAGATTCGTTTACTTGTAACTAATAAATAGACATCCATGGTGCGTATTGTATTATTATATATTGACCAGCCATACATCAGCCCCCGGGAAAGGGCGTGCATTGGCGTGATTGGAAAGCCATTTACAAACTGCGTACTCAGGTGGTTTGCTGCAGGCACAACTTGTTGACATGGGGTATCGCTGCCTAAGAAGCTTGGGACTGCGGAGCTCCATCCCAAACCATATCCCACTTCCTGATATGCCCTTTATGTTCAGTATCTAGTACGAAGGAAGACCTGAACAAAGCCACAAATTCTGCCATTGTAGTTGCGCCAAATTCTAGTCAAAATATTCTTAGGTTCACCTATGCGAAAGAATAATTTTATTATTTTATTTCAGATAATCTGCTTCGCTGTCGTAGTCGCCACAGTGGCGGCTCAATATGGTGAGCACGGCCACGGGCACGCCTACTCATCTCAACAGATCTCTCGCCACGATGGTCCTGAGCACGTTGTGTCTGTACATGGACATGAGGGTAGTCACGGTCATGGTCATGGACATCACGTTGACTACTATGTGAGTATACTGTACAATTAGGGACTAGTTAATGTAAGTGCTCAGAACGAACTTCCAAACTGATGTGTTTTGGAAATTCAATCAATACACAGACATCCCACACGTTTATGAGTAGGTTTACAGATTTTGTGAATACATCTATTTTGCGCAGCTTTTGATTGTCTCGATATTTCATTTATTTATATAGATACTTATATTATATCACATATTTATTTTCATTTATGCTATAGAATTAAACCAAACGTAGTCTTTCATACAATGCCATACAAGTATCTCATCATTAAGGCTTTTGGTAGAATTTATGCTTGTACGGATTATATTAAAAAGCTTATAAAAATACGTTTTTTTATAATAAGTACACATAAATATTTAATATCAAATCTATTTTCATTAGGCTCATCCAAAATACCAGTTTGAATACAAAGTATCGGATCCTCATACCGGTGACCACAAGAGCCAGCACGAATCCCGCGACGGTGATCACGTGACCGGTTACTACTCGCTCCATGAGCCCGATGGCTCTGAGAGGACTGTTCACTATTCCAGCGATAAGCACAGCGGGTAAGCATAAATTGAAGTTTTATCTTTAAATTTAATTATAGCTCTAAACAAACTAAGCAGTCTGAGCAAACTAAGTAATCTGGCCTAACAACAGGATGTTTTTTAATTATCGAATACAACAAAGTAACGACTTTGACAAAATTATTTATAACATTTTAGTCCTCCAATGCGTGAGTAGTTACGAGTATCACATGATAATGTAATGTCGTATTAAACTGTTCATTACCCTATAACTTTATAACGTCTCTAAACGTATTTTGCATAATGAACTTCTTTATCATTGGCCTATTATTTACTTAATCAGAAACAATGTAACAAAACTACTGTAATAATCAAAATGGGTTTGTAGAAAATTAGTTTATATGATATACAGTAAACTAGAAAATATCAATTCTATTTAGTACTTACAATAGTTGAGCTTAATACGTGTCCATAGTAAGAAAGGTTATTTTGGATTGATTCACAAATTACGCTATTTATATTATCAATGTAGTAGGAAACAGTATAAACTAATAAAGTTATTTTATTTCCAGTTTCCACGCCACCGTGAAGCACGACACTCACCATATTATACCCGTCCATCATCATCATCATTAAACGGCAAAAACCGATTACTACTTGACTGATTAATACTTAAGCTATATAGCTGTTTTCTGTGATCTTATTTTATATGCACAATAAAGTCTATTCTGTTTAGTTTGTTGTTTTTATGTATATATCTTTATCTCAATTTCCACTGATAGTCTGAGAGAAATCCTCAACAACAACAATAATGAATCTGCATTAAATTTTTGCTGTAATTTTATGATAATAGGTTACCATTATTATTTTCAATAAGGCTCAAATATAATAAAAATAAATTCAACTATTACTTAATGTAATTTAAATACATTGAACATAAATTAGTAGACATATACAATAAATATTACAATCTAAATATTGTTCTAATTGTAATACTCTATTTGCATATGTATTCATTTAATATTTTCAACATAATTATAAAACCATAATAATAAAACTAAATCTATATTGTAAATACAGTACTTATAATACAGATTACAATTTTACAATATTTATATGAGTAGAAATATGTCAATAGTGCAGGATTCACGAAAATTATATCGTTGTTGTATTTAGTTTCTGTTTATTTCATAACATTACTAAATTATTAAATCACTTATTTTTTAAGGAGTACTTCCCCTATTATATTCTTATATTTATGCTAATAAATATAAATTTGTTCTATTTATAAATAAATATAAATTCTATATATAAATAAATATAAATTTATTATATTCGTATGTTTGTTTGTATCGGTTTGGATGTGTTGATATACGTAGACGTATATAAATACGTACTTACAAATAATATATCCAAGTATTTATATGAGTTGTCTAGTACCCATAACACAAGCTCTGCTTATCTTGGGTCTAGATGGTTATTATTATTATATCTGCATAAAATTTCTCCAACGCTAAGTTAAGGAAAATGTAGAATCTTTAATTTGAGAAGTAGGAACGTGTACATAGATAGCAAAGAACATACCCGAAAAATATAAAAAGTAGAAAAGAAAAAGAAAATGTAGTGTAATAAATATTTATGTTAGTTATAATTATATGTTTTAAGACATTCATAATGGAACACTCTGATAACTAAGTATATTATTTTATTCTGTTTTCGCGTATGTTGATATTAAATAAGATACAAAAATAAAAATTAACCAGATTAATTACATTTATCTACCATTCTTACCTATTTTTTCTATCTTAAAGAGTTGAATTATTTAGTAGGTTACTGTAAATTGTTACACTACAAATGTATAATTCGGAGTAGTAATATGTATAGTATATGTATATGTATATATCATAGATATAAATACGAGAAAAATTAAAGTATTCAGCATAACTTGTTTCTTCATTCATAAAAATAATTTCTTACTGCGCTAAAATCGTCATCAGAACTGTTCTATTTTTGCCAGAGAAATAGTACTTACGTAATAAATTAAAATGATGTAAAGTGACATTTGATGTAATATCTACTGTAATCTAGTTGATACTAATAACACATATACATATACAGTACAGAGCAATATAACCAATATATTATAATATCAATCTCGAAGCTAATAAATGTACAAAAAACCATAATATTAAAAATATTATGAAATTTACAATTTCTACAGCATATGTTGTAGAAATAAAACAAAAGAGTAGTGAATATATATCACAGTATCTATTGTTCATAATTGGATGAATAGTAACAGTAATCTTTTATAGTGAGTTTTTCCCGAAACTTTTTACTACTATACTATCAAAAATTTTATGTATATTTTGAGAAATTTTCTGCCTTTCCAAACCGACACAATACCTATATAAAAACTTCAAGCAAAGGCCTTATTCCTCCTTGATAACTCGGTAACTCAAAAGCAATTCCACTGTTGCTGCGGGTACTCAGGTTTGTCGAAAGCTCGATTGCGCCCTTTGCTATAAAAAATATATCTTGTTATAATGCAACCGTTTTACATCATGTGTACAGAAACGCTTTAATATTACTTAATATTACTTTGTACTAATCTATGTCAAATATAATAAAATATGAAAGATTTAATGTTTTTTTATCTCTTCAAAAAATACCTATTTGATCGATTTTTTAATATAGTTAATCGGATCAGATATAATTTTATGGTATAGATATTTACCTCTATCAACGTTTCTACTTGGTTGCACTAGCCGTGGTCACGAGCTGACTGGTGGTTAAGATACATTTTAATGTTAAAAACGAAAGTTTAATAATAACTATTGATTTATTCGTTTAACATTGACATTGACATAATCTGTAAATCCACCCGCTTGGAATACAACCTGACCTTAGCAGGATACTGCTAGTAATTATTATGAGATATGAAAAAATCTTTGCATCAGTATGGTTTATAAATAAACATTAGTATTCAAGTATCTGTACAAATTCTATGATTATACAGTTATATATATATTATACAGTGCAGTTTCCATTGATGACTATGTCACATTTAATTATTTAGTCAAAAATATATTTATTCGTATATAGTTATTGCTCAATAGGTCATATAATGTTTAATAAAGATATTTGTGTAATTAATAATTTAATTTTAAATGAAATTAATCTATACTATATTCTATATATGCTTAAAGTGCATTAGTAAAACGCTAGTAAATGTTTGATTGGAATCTTACCTTGAAATTTTAACCGAATCACACACAATCATAGTTAAGCATAACGAACAAATTGTTTTACGAAATTGTTCCAAATTGCTTAAATCTTATTGTCTTTAACTACCAATAGCTATAACATAAAGTGAAATCAATATTAGTTACCCTTGATTTTCTTGGTTACTATAAAAAACGAATATATTACCATTTCTATATCAGTTTTGTTTCACACTTTGGACCATAAACATTTACAACAAAAATGTATTTTAAGGTAAATATAAATATACAATTGATAATATGCAATACAACACATTACACCTCAAATATGTTATTTAGGATTTTTACTGTTCGTAATAAATCAATGTATACCATAGAATATTATTTTTACATATTTTCAATGGGAAATAGGATGCAAGTGAAGTGCGCTATTACTAATTGCTATTACTATTAAAAAAGGAATAATTTAAATATTTTAATTTCGAGAATGATTATTGATGAATTAACTATACTATTAAGGTTTCTCAATAGGACACATAACAATAGATCTCTTTTAAAAGTCATTTATGGTATTAATAAGAATTATAATTACTATAACTTATTTGTGTATTGTATGTGACATAAAATAATATACAAACATATGTAATATTTTTTTCAGACGCTGTTATTTTCAACACTATTAGCGGCAACTGCGGCCCAATTCGGGTCTAATAATGGATATAACCACGGTCATCATGGTCATGGACATGCATACTCATCTCAATATATATCACTTCATGGCGGACACCATCGTGGTGGGAACGGGTTTGGTCAAGGGGAAGCAAATGGACATCATAGTGGTATAGGAGCGCAGAATCACGGGCATGAACATGCATACTCTTCGCAACATATCTCACATCATAGCGGACACCATCATGGTCAAGGTCACCACCATGATCATGGACACCATGACTATCACGTAAGTATCCAAGGCTTATTTTTTAATTGTAGTTTAAATTAAAAATGAAACAATGCCATCATTCCTCTCCGATCGATTCCTCGTCAAATTCAAAAACAGGGATCGAAATTACGGCCTGAGCCGAGGTTCGAACCCTTAGCGGTGCCCTCAAACTAAAATCGTATCGTAGGAGTTGGCCTTCAGCCGATCCTTCTTTCTGCGAGTTCGGAATACCATCTCCCCCTAACGTCCGGTGAAGCGTAAAGGCCAGCAGCGGCCATAAGCATTAGTAGAAATTTACAATTTTTCCAACGCAAAATTTAAAAAAAATTCAAAATTCAATATATCTTTATTCATATAGGTCTATTACAGACTCTTATGATATGTCAAATCTACCGTCAGTTCGGAATGATTTCGAGAAGTGAAGAACTGACAAGAAATTCAGGTCGTATTTTTTTTATGTTGTACTTGTTTACAATAATTCATTTCAAATTTGGGAGAATAGAGTGACCACCAGTATATGCTATTGAAAAAAAAAACAATAACAAAAATTCTAATCAGTGTTCGCAACTTGAACAGACCAATCCCCACAATTATAAAATTACTAATCAAACTGTCTAATTATCCTACCTACTTACATAGAAATATTATTTTGCAATATATGTAGGTAATAGCACATTAATTTTAATAACAATCATTTGAGAATAGGTTCCTTTGACTCATCCCTGCCTGAAAATACTATTATGAACAAGAATACGGCCAACTTCAAACTTTCAACCAAAAAAAAGCACGTACTAGAACATAACCACCATCTCATTACCCTCAATTCAATAAATATTGTACATTATTAATAGTTCTTACTTTTTATTTGTAGTGTAAACAAAGCGTATCCTTCTCTCTATTTCTATCTGAATCTGTTTAAAAATACTTCCTATTATATTTCCTCAGGCTCATCCTAAATACGACTTCGAATACAAAGTGTCAGACCCTCATACTGGTGACCACAAAAGCCAGCACGAGAGTCGCGACGGCGACCACGTGTCTGGTTACTACTCACTGAAGCAGCCTGATGGTTCTGAACGTACAGTGCACTATCACGGTGATCATCACAGTGGGTGAGTGTACTGGGTACCATATAACATTACTGATCTTATGCAGAATACAAGTACCCATAAGAAAAGAATATTCTTAAGCCTACTAAATGAATAATGTTAAACCTATTATAGCCAATAAATTTTGTACACTTTTATACGGTCTTGGAGATCTAACGAATTGCCTAATTTCTGATGGTTGCGGGTTCGTTTCCTTGCACTTTACAAGCATTTATGTTAGTCAATGTAATGGTTCTTTTGATCTGGATATTTCTTATGTATATTATGTATGTAATTATAAAAAAAATATGTGCATTCTTGTAGCCATTCTGTAGGCTCTCCTTAGTTTATGTGTTGAGTGAATTGTTGCAGGTTATCATTATTATTACAGGGTTTTTGTAACGTGTTTTCTACTACTTCACTGGTACGCTGGTAACATTTTGCCATACCTGCGGATTATAACATTATTATAACCATAATATTATATGCATAGCAATTTCACTGTCTTGCTACTCTTTAAAGTGCTACTTTAAAAAGTAATACAATGATTGTATTTATATCCATATTTCACACAGTATGTTATTGATACTCTATGAAAAACCTATATGATTTGTCACAGAGAGCCTAAAATTTAATAATAACGAATATCGTTTAGATGACATTTCGTTAACAATATCATCTCTAAAAATATATAATATATTTTTCTGTTTTTCAGATTCCACGCTACCGTCAAATACGGAACCCATCACTTAGTGCCACATCATCATCACCAACACCATCATCATTAGACTGAGATTATTGTTATATCGACTACTGTCATTCTCTCATGCCTATGATTATGACAAATATACGTTATGGTTAATATTAATATTTTTACTATTATTTCACATGTCACGCCATTTTTATTAAGTTTAAAATTATAGATATATGTAATTAAACTAGGATTTATAACTGAATATACAAGTGCAATTAGAATAAATTAAAGAAAATAGAGGAATAAAAAAAAAAGTAGTATGCAAAAACTACGTTTCTAATACGATAGCGCATTGTTTTTAGATCTCACTTAATCTTATACACGGTATCCGTCATTTAAAATCACATCATAATTTTCATAATTATTAGACTGGAAAATCATTATATTTTACGATTATTCAGTGCTGTATAGATAAGATACATTCTTTCACTTGATTAAGATCACTTTTATTTATTATGTTTTATTATACAAGATTTTTAAAGATTAATTGATAGATTTTAAAGACTGTTGTATAACGCAACATCCAACCGCCCAATGAAAACAAACCAATAGAATCCAACCAATAGAAAAGAGACTTGGAATTTTTAATATTTGTTTCCGATGGTCTTACAATGCAAGCATGAAACATACGAGTAAGTATAGTTTTTTGTATCGCTCTGGCGGTTTCTTTAATATGTACAAAAAGTAAATAAAAAGTATTTAACATATTCTATGAGTTGTCTCGTACTCACAAACTCTGGTTAGCTTAAGATTAGATAACGCTGTATGAATTGACCAGTGTTACTATTATTATTAAAACGTGGGCATCCGTTCAAGGATATTCTTTTTTTATAGGGATAAATGTGCCCAGTAGAAACTTAATAATGAAAAATATTTTATATTTTCTTATTTATTAATTTCTATATTTACAACAATAAAAAATGTAACAAAATTTAATTAATGACTGTTTTTATAGACAAGGATCGGGTTCAATGATGATGCTCAGGTACAATGTGTTTGGCGTGACCTTCGCGTTTCACGACGGCGTTGAAACTGTCAAAAAAAATAGTACACAGATTATCAAACGGGTATAAACATCTTCCGGACAAATATGTAAGGGATATCTGAGATAATGTAGATCTTACAATTAAATCTTAACGATAGAATTTAATCTTTGAAATTATATGAATAGACAGAAGGATTTTTTCCTAAATGTTTGCAAGTTTGTTACTTAAACATACCTAAACCGTTAAAGGATTAAAAAAAATCTAATGATAACCATATTTTATCACTATTCATGTAGAAGGACTCGCGACTCGACTTTATGATATAAAAAACAGATATGATGATCATATAATGTATGGAAAATATTGAAATTTGAAGTATATATACCAGCCTAGACTACTTGCGTTATTTGTAGGTATTGTAACACTTAAGTATTTGGGTAATATCCTTCTATTTACTACATTTTTATACTTTCACGAATTATACGAAATTGGATTAACAGAGAAACTATTAACCTTAGACATACCAATACAATATTCAAGCATAATAAGCTATAGCTATAAAGGAGAATAATGTCTTACCCATTGTGTTTGTCGGCCGTGTACTCGACGATCCTGATGGTGCCGTCGGCTTCGTGCAGACTGTACACACCCTTGACGACGTCACCGTCACGGGTCTCGTGCTGGTACTTGTTGTCGCCGGTGTGGGGGTCCTCGATTTTGTATTCGTATGCGTATTTGGGTATAGCCTTAAACAAATAATATAATATATATAAATATAAAATAATACTATTAGAGTTGAACACCTAAACTTTGTGATTTTAATTAAGTTTCTACTTTTAAAAAATCAGCTATTGAGAGTACTGACTCCTTAAAATACTTTTTGTTCTTTTAATACTGAAACATTTTTTAATTTTATATCTACTAATATTGTCTTAAGGTAGTTTTCTTAAATTTTACTTACATAGTAGTCTACGTGATGTTCTTCATGTTTTTCCTCGTGCTTGGGAGACTCATAATGTTGGACAGGCTGATGAACCAGCACGACGGGCTTGGCTTCATGCTGCACAGGTGCGTGTTGAATGTGACCACTTTGATGTAACACGATGCTTTGTGATGAATAAGCATGACCGTGACCGTGGCCCTCCTGTGGTCTTGCAGCAACCACAGCGAGGATAGCAGCAATGATTACGAACTGTTAAAAAATAATATGATAATGTATGTGTAAAATATTTATAAATTATTTGAATAATGAATTAATTTTTAAATAATTTAAAATTTTGCACTCCTAATGAGTGAAAACATAATGGGACATTATATCTTATTTGATTACATTATCAATCACAACTCATGTAGACCTATGCTTATCGAAAAATAAATTTGATTTTATTTGAATATATGTTAATATGAAATGTAATGTTATCATTCTGAATTAGTGCTTTTCATTGTCAGACATTAAAAGCATCGAAATATCTTTTAAATATAAAGATATGATTTGTTGTATCTTCGGTCACATATAAAATTTAAATTATACAATTTTCTTTTACTAATAATGTAAAGAAAATTTAATTTGGATACTTATAAATTCAGTAATATATAATATTTCAATTTAAAGTACCTTGGCTTGCATGTTTAATTTCTTGTTTACACTTCAAAGCGTAAAAACCAACTGATAACTAAGAGCTAATTGGTATTCCTTTTATACAGCCTAAGAGACAGTATAAGAATTTCTATTTTAAAATTTCGTCCGGTTTAAAAAAAGCATAACAAGTTCTCAAAATTTGGGTGACATGAAAGCGTACGCGACCTTGACTCAAGTGCGTTATTACATTTTATTATAGTTACGCCCACCTTTCTTCTTGAAAGTAGTAAGTTGCTGTGCAATTTGATTACAAAATTTTGCATAAGTCAAATTGAAATTTTTCCATACCAATACCAACTTTTATACACATATCACTATGACTTTGAATTTTCAATAAACAACAAAAACACAATTTTGAGCTATTTTGAATACAATTTATGATATGACTACTAATCGTGTATGTATTTTGTTCTGAAAAATGTCGAATAACATGATGCGTACAGCTATCTTTTACCATCCCATTTCCCCACAAACTACCTCCAGCTCAACGAATCCAGCGGATTCGTTGAGCTGGAGGCAGTTTTGGACAATTCGGTTTTAGAACAGGTTTCAGATTCTTCCGGCGTAGACTTAAAGATGAAGACTACGATGAGAATGATATAAGGCCAGAACATTATGATGATTGCTAATTCATCTACATTTTTTACTATGGTTTTACGATTTTGTATACATGTGATTTTAGTAAAGTATCAGTAAAAACGCATGGTGGAGATCGATCATCCATCCAAATTGTACTTGTACTTATTCAATATTGAAGATTCATTAATTTTATTCAATATGCCAAAATATTTTCTAAATATATCGAATTATAATTCTGTTTCGCTTAAAAATAATAATGTAATGGATAAACTATTGAATAGAACTTGAGAACAACTTTTAGACAATGTTACCAAATCAAATTGCAATTTAAGATTTGAATGAGTTAATTAGTAGAATGTAATAAGAACAACAGGTTGTTATTACATACTATCTATTATTGCTTTTTGTCTAGGAAATATATATATTATATAAAAGATACTTAAAATATATTCTATGAAATAAAATCGGTTCTTAAAAAATTTTACACATAAATATTACTGGTAAAGTTGTAATAATAATAGTAACTACTCTATTTTACCCCAAGCTGAGCGTATATTATGAGTAGTAGGAAGCTGATGGAAATACTTAAATACATTGTTTTTTTTTGTAATACATACAAATAAAAAACCAGACCAATACTCAAGAATACAAATGTTTGTACCGTGCGAGGAATCGTACCCGCAACCTTTATAGCTAAATTGATCGACCAATGAGGTCATCACAAATTTTCATCACATCTTTGTCATAAAAATGGAATTTAAGGTCTCATATTTCTTTACAATATACTCTACAGTATTGCACGATATCTTAGAATATAACAGAAAAACAAAATGTATGCAGTTTTCAATGTATCCATTTTTATTTCGTCATCTATACAAATAAAATATAAAAAAATAATTTTACAATATGTATCTGTCTGTATATTCTTGTTAATCTCTTAAGGGCTGGACCGCTTTTGATGGAAGTTTCACTCGCAGGTAGCTATCTTATCTGTTTTTGTCCATTGATCTGCAATTTCATCGTAGTTTGAGAATAATATATAATTACAGACTGTCTGATTGTGTCTTAGGCTTTCACATAAAATATTTGGAGCAATTAGGATTATAAATAAATAGGAGGATTATAGATAAATAGGTGGTTGTTGGATGGAGCTTTCTTGATAGAGATGAAATAATAATAAACATGAAAAATCTACACTGGGTCATTTAGTCCCAATCAGAGCCTGTGTTATGGATACTAAACAACTGGATAAATAAATAAATTTAATTTGTTTTGTAAATACACACATAACATACATTGCAATTCAATTCAAATAACCATACTCATAAATACAAATTTTAGTATTCTGCTAAAAATCCACCCTGCAACCGACAGAAAGCAACACGGTGCGCTAAATCAAGAGATCACCGACAATTTCAATACGTCACCTACTATTGTAACAATGAGTTTTATAATAAAATAAGAGATAGTGTCGCAGGCTCTACTATTTCAGAATAATCCAATATCGTATTATCCACTCTTTTTTCTTTGTTAATCAAATTAACAAATAAATAGTTTAATATAAAATATTCATTATACCCTAAATATTTGAAATTATGATGAAGTTTTAATCACTTTTTTATTAGCAAAAATACTGTGTCTGTATGTGTGTGTTTCATTTATGAAAATACTAGCTACCCACCCCGGCATCGCACGTATATACATATATTATACATATAAACCTTCTTCTTAAATCACTCTATCTCTTAAAGAAACTGCTTCAAAATCCGTTACGTAGTTGTAAAGATTTAAGTATATGTAGAGGACAGACAGTGACAGCGATTTTGTAATAATAATGTTTATTGACTGTTGAAATTAAAATTACCCAATATTTACTTTTTTATCTACTGGAACGTAGAATCAAATATACAGATCAGTTTTTAGTATTTACTAGATTATGTAATCTAAGCTGTGTAAAAGTCACAACTTATATTAAACAAAATAAAATTAACTAAATAAAAAAAAACAAGCCATAGATTGTAGTAAATATTGTTTAGTAATAATTTAACTAAACTATTTCTACTACTTAAAATATATGTACTAGTACAACGTTATATTAAATATTACATCACTTTGACGATAAAAATTCTTTGAAATCGGTTTTATGTTAAAAAAGGTGAGTTATTTACTTAATTCCAGTGTATCAACCAACATACTTGTTATGAAATAATAAAATAATTATTTAGGTATAATACATTTATTAACAATTAACGAACAATTATAAAATTAATCTTAAAGTATAACGTTATCACAGTTTTAATGATGTTCTGGTACGATGTGTTTGGCATGACCCTCTCGCTTTACAACGGCGTTGAATCTGAAATTAAAATTTATTTTGTTAAAGTATTTTTGTAGTTGAGTAGTGATACTTAGAATTATTCAGATATTATTTATTTAAATTTTACCCATTGTGTTTGTCAGCTGTGTACTCGACGATCCTGATGGTGCCGTCGGCTTCGTGCAGACTGTACACACCCTTGACGACGTCACCGTCACGGGTCTCGTGCTGGTACTTGTTGTCGCCGGTGTGGGGGTCCTCGATCTTGTATTCATATGTGTATTTGGGGATAGCCTGTAATCATTCAATTAGCCATAGAACATGTACTTTTTTAGCATTTCCAAAACCGGTATGTAAGGATTAAGGAAATATGAAAAACTAAAAGGCAAGAATTATGAGCCGAGTAGAGAGAATAGGTTTTCTTAGTCTACAGAAAGTCTACAGTGAATAATGTGTGCGGTCAACAAAAGACTTTTCAGACATTTAAGACAACTTATCAAGCACAGTTTGAACAGACTGCTCTATCGAGTAGGCTGTCAGCATGTTTGTCATCATATTAATTTATATATTTATTTAATATGGTAGCATTTGGCAATCTGATATGGAAGCTACTGTAGGTATAACTATATTCACTGCTATTCTTGTCCACAGATAACGGTTATAATTGGATAACCGTCATCTGTGGAATAAATAAATTGTAGAAAAATAAATGACTATATTATAGCATATTATTTATATTTGAGAAAGAAATAATATCTTACATAGTAATCAACGTGGTGTTCCTCATGATCGTCATGTTTAGGAGATTCTTGGTGGTGGATGGGTTGTTGAACGTGTACAACCGGCTTCACTACATGATGTACAGGTACACTGTGGTGTGAGTCATGACTTTGAGGCTGGTGCAGTACGATACTCTGTGACGAGTAAGCGTGACCGTGACCGTAGCCGTCTTGTGGTCTTGCTGCGGCATAGCCAAAGATAGCAGCGACTAGAAGAACCTAAAATTATTAAATGGAATTAGAACATCTTTTAATTTGGATATCTAAATTAATAAATAAATATAAAACGTTTAAAAGTACAATTAAATCTTAGACAAAAAAAAATTATAGTCTATGTTCATTAGTGTAAATGACATTTAGCGCAGTAGTAATTATATCTTAGATACCAAGCTTCAGCTGTTACGCATAACTGGATTAATTAATCGAATTAAACAATAGATTAACAAATTTCCTGAATATTAATATAATATATAATCTAATTTTAGTAGTACCTTAGCATACATTTTCTTTTTATTTTTATATTACGTTTACACTTTAAAGAACAGACAACAACTGATAGACTAATTGTGTACAAGTATCCTTTTATATACAGCAAATAAAACGAGATCATTGAATACGGCACAATGTCTAAACTAGTAATTCGATATCATTACATAATGTAAAATTATAACCTTGACGCATAAAATTAATGTCGTATGAACTTTCTCACAGAAAAAAAAAAAAGAATCAAAAACGTATACGTAATTTTGATTGTTATGTAGACGACATTGAGATTGAGATTGCCCCATTATATTTTGCTTATTTTTTTTTCACATTCTCTATATAACTCGTTTTGTCTCTATTTATACATACAAAAATATAAAAAAGCTTTAAAAACTAAGTTCGTGTTCGTTCCTACACGCGGTAACGTAACATGCGGAATGCACAAATTTGTATATACTCTGACCATACAAATAACCATAAAATAATGGTAATGACCTATAATCAATCCAGAACACTGTTAGAAAACAATGTGCAAATCGGCCCCAAGTAGAAAAAGACGTCCGGAGGGCAGGAAAATGGAAACTGTATCTTGCCGAATATTTGTGCAACAATTAACACAGACAGTATCTTTATCTCGGACTAATTTTCCAGAATTGTTTTATAGCGCGTGTAATAAATATGTATTTATAATTGTAACAAAAGACAGCGGATGTATATTAATATTTTTAAAAGAATGTTCACTTTATTACTAGCCAAATATATATTCCAGTATTTCAGTGCATATAATGGCCGCTAGTCGAATGCCGGTAGGTGACCGTTAGATTAACAAGAAATCAAAAATTCAAAATATCTTTATTCATGTAGGTCTATTACAGACTCTTATGATATGTCAAATCTAGCGTCAGTTCGGAATGATTTCGAGATGAGAAAAACTAACAAGACACTCAGCGAGTATTTTTTTTTAAATAAATGTTATACATTTTTACAATAATACAGATTCATTTAAATTCAAATTTGGGAGAATAATGTGACCACCAGCATATGCTATTGCAAAAACCAAAAAATCTAATCAATGTTCACAACCTGAACAGACCTGTCCCCACAAACAGCACTCGCGGATGAGCCAGCCATCATTGCACTCAACCATATTAGAGGGAGCACATCGACCCGGCCCACCACGCCGCCACAAGTTTAAACTTTATGGCGAGCATGACTGTATCAAGTTACTCCACTACGTCATTTATATTATTTACTGCATAAACTGTACCAATTACAGTTTTTACCCATTACAATATTTAATATACATAATTTAGATTACAATATGTCATTACTAAATTTACAATAAGTTTCTTTAGTCTTTATTACATTAGTTACCTAAAGTCTATCAGTCGAGTAAACTATTGTATTATAATATATGGAAAATAAATTAAAATCTAAATGGCCCACTCGGCAATAATATCTTCTGCCAGTTCTTTTTAAATTATTATGTTTTAAGCATTAATATGCAATATAAAATTTAAATATTAACAAAAAGCACATAATATTTGTAAATGTGTTATAATATTGTCATAAAGCTATGAACCATTATTATAATAATAAATAATAATGGCAGAAATATGAGGAATGTCGGTTATTTATTTTATATAATTATTAGAAATTATTAATCGAAACAATACTGATATCAAATTTGAAGCCCATTAATCCATATCTTGATAAAAACATGAAATATTGTAATAATAAAACTTTATAATAAAGGTCATTTTCTATCCATTATAATGGTCATTGTTCATAGTTTGACGATGTATAGTTATTCTGCCAACAGCACTGCATGTTTCAGGGGGTGTAAACCTATAACGATGAAATCAAAGGGTAGGTACTATATATTTAAGTAAAAGTAAATTATTTTGTGTAAGTTATAAATATTTATATTACATAAAGCATTTATTATTATATTACATTGTTTAATTCCGCTACAAAAATACATTAGGTAATTTAATCGAATTCCGCACAATAACACCTAATAAAATAAAATATTATATAATAATTTATATTTTACAAAATTAGTCAAATAAAAGCATTGTGCGAATTTACTAGATAGATGTATTTATAAACTTATCAGTTAATTGTCATCTTGACGTACATGTAAGTAAAACAAATTATACGTACAACGCAGACGTAGAATTTTCTTTCTTGTATCTAAAGCCTAATAAACTTATGTGGAAGATAAATATCAGTTTTTCTGTGTCTATGATCTGAAGTTCTGACTGACTTTAAAAAGGGCTGTAATAGTTGCCTAGGGTCTTTTAACATTACTACTGGTAATTAAAATAATTTAAATTATATGTTAAATTAGAATGTGCTGTAAAAGAACTTACGGACATACTCATATGCTTCAGGATGACTATTAATTTCATTCATTTAATATATCGGTTTTTCTTCTTCTTAATTCTTGTATAATTTGCTAATAATTTTAATGTTTTTCTATTACTAGACAAACAGAAAATATAACCGATTTAGAATTGTCACTGTACTACATAATATAAAGTATTCATTTTTGATAGTTCTATACACGCTGCCAAATTATCAAAGATTATATACTTACATTATCTAAAATGTATTTGTTAAGCAGTATTAGTTTATTATTATTCTTTATATTAGTTAGCAGTTATAGTACAGGCCACAACACAGTTTATAATATCGTAAGATAGATTAGAAATAAAATAAGGTAACAATACACAAACATACAACTTCAAGTTAAGAGAGATTCTTTTTATTGATACATTTTTCCACTCAATTAATTTCATTGTCGGTCGGTTGATTCGGTGTCATATAATTATATTTTTGTCCTGTATTATATGACTGGATACAAATACTCGTAATTTCTTTCCGTGTTGCCACTCGCTTTGTTTTCTATACAATATGTTACAGTACAGTATGTTCTATTTATCAATACACTAGACACTAGAATAGCTGTAAATTCCCAATAGATTTTAATTTTCCTTAAAATTAACTCGTTGGCATGTTATAAGAGAAAATATAGTCATATTCTATTTAATATTCTTTTATTCTATAAAAACAATATTTACAAAAATTAACAATAGGTAACATTTATCAATATTATAATCACATTAACAAGGTATATACGAGTATGCATATCAGTTTCAATGATGATGTTCTGGCACAATGTGTTTGGCATGACCTTGTCGTTTCACAATGGCGTTGAATCTGAAAAAAAAAGTATTATAAAAAATATGCCAACAAAATAAAAAAACTTCGTTATTTAACCTAGATAATAACATATTGTATAAAAATATTATCATAACAGCAGAGACTATTTGACTCGAAGACATTCCATGGTTTCTTGTTTTATATTATATGTACTTTACTATATGTAAAGCGTATTTAGCACCTCATCACGACTAATAGGCATAAGTAATCTCGTATTAAATACAATATCTCAATAATGTAAAAAAAAACAAATCCTGCATTAAATTGTATCGATTAGTAGTTTGTTTTGGAGTAGGTTATATAAATGATTTCAGTATTTTGTTTTAGGAATTTTGACGAGGCAAGTCCGAGGATTGTGAATATTACACGACAATTTAATAATTTGACAATTTTCCTAAAATATATAAAATGATTTTTATTGTATAGATTTTAGTATAATGTTATATCTTACCCATTGTGTTTGTCGGCGGTATACTCGACGATCCTGATGGTGCCGTCGGCTTCGTGCAGACTGTACACACCCTTGACGACGTCACCGTCACGGGTCTCGTGCTGGTACTTGTTGTCGCCGGTGTGGGGGTCCTCGATTTTGTATTCGTATGTGTATTTGGGGATAGCCTAATAAGAAAACAATATTTTTTAATCCGTTCTGATATACGACTACAATGAAAATCAACTTGACAGTTGAAAAGAAAGTGATAAGTATTTGTTGGCATATACTGTGAAAGTTACGGAATTCACTGAGTTTTACTCGTGTATTGGCATTCCTGTAAGCTAAGGCGCAGTTCCGTAGTATTTTTCCTTACTACCCTTCAAACCGGAAAACTAAAATAATATTTATGGTGATAAGCAGAATAGATAAAACAGAGGAGATGTTTTATTTTATTGATGTAAAAGAAATTTAATTTATTTCTCCTATGGTAAATCTAAAACAATTAACTGTTTTAATATAGGTACATACATATAGACTAAAAACATAATATACTTCATTTAATGTTACATTCGTATATTCTATTTCTGTTTGTTATTGCTGTGGCTTCTCAACTTTTTGACTAAGATGAAATTGTTTATTTGTCGAAATTATAGAGAGTAAAAATTTATATTACTTACATAGTAGTCTACATGGTGTTCCTCCTGTTTAGGAGCTTCGTGGTGCTGTATCGGCTGTTGGACGAGCACAACTGGCTTCACTTCATGGTGTACTGGTACATGATGTTGCGTTTCATGACCATGACTCTGATGTAGTACAATACTCTGCGACGAGTAGGCGTGACCGTGACCATGACTGTCTTGTGGACGTGCCGTGGCGACCACAACAAGAGCAGCAATCACAAAAATCTATAGATAAATAGTCAATAGATTATTGATTTATACAAATAAATTAACTATTTATATGAACTTTCAATAATTATAAAAAATATTATATATTTATATGTATAGTTTATTCAAATTTGAATATTTTTTTCTATTATGTATAATTAAATATGATATAGTATATCTACTTTAATAGTAGGTAGATTTTGAGATAAATGGACTACGGATATTATTAACAGACTTTTCAGTTTAATTCTTTTTATCAATACATTTACTGAATTCATCTGTAAAGAATTCATTACTTTTTATAATAACTTACTTTGGAATACATTTTAATTGTAATGTTTACTTCTTGAATGACAAATTGTAACTAATAAATATATACTTACGCATTATCTTTTTATACTGACGTAGTTTAAAGTTATGGACAGATTGTTTTTCGTAATAATATTAAGTTAAAACCAGTCGGTACACATACATACCAATAATAGACTCGTATTTACTTAAATGCAAGTTCAACCTTGACATGCAAGCCATGAAAGTTCAATTTAGACACATTTCTCATGTTTGACTTGGAAAGTTTTAATTACTTGATTTTATTATCAAGCGTTTACTAAAGCTATTTTTTTAACTATTTTAAAATTTAATATAACTGTCGGTAATAACGTTAACAGTAAGAATATATGGATATGTGATGTTAAACTATCACCTTAGATTTATGTATATAATATTCTAATCTATGATTATATGATTCATGTAACACAAGAGTTTTTTTTTATACTACTATAGTGGCAAACAAGCATACTGCCCGGTAACCGGTTAGCCTATGGACGCCTGAAACACCTGGGGTGCTAATTGCGCATTGCCGACCTTTAAAAACCTTAATATACCCTTATTAATAAGTCGCATGCTGTAATCTCGTGAGTAAACCTAAGCAGGTAGTTCATTACACAATCTAAGTGTACGCAGGAGGAAGCTCCTCTGAAACCGCACTGTCCAAGACCACTTGGGTTGTAGCGTGTGGGGATAAATTCCGTGTCGATGGCGAGCGGTGCGATGGTAAAAAGTAATTGTGGGGATCATGTCGAACAATTCAGAACACAGTCCGTTGTATATTCGAGCACACAAAGGGAAGTGGTTAAGCTAAGTGGTTCGATACTGCCAGAGAGATCGGGAGCATCGACAATTCTCATAGCATAACTCTGAAGCGAGTCAAAAGGTCCGATTCCAAATAATCCAAGTGCTTATGCCGAAAGATGAGACCAGTACTTAATGTGCGGCGGAACCTGTGACTTATATGTATAAGACCACACCGAGTTTTTTGAACGCCCGCTTCTAGAGTATGCTAATAAATAGAAGTGAAGAGACGGACTGTCTCTTCACTAAAAGATATTTTTCAGTGAACATGAAGTACAAGACATATAACTCTTTTCAATTTGTATTTGGAATGCATAATATTCATTTGTTTTTAGAATAAATTATTACTGACAGAGTTAAGAAAATATTACTAGAGTGCTGACGGCACGTCTATCAATCTGCACAAATTAGACCTAAGCACATTGCTAATACCACAGATAACATAATATTGCATCTAATACCGATTGACTTACTCCAATGATCTCGAGATATATACAAAATATACAACAGTAATAAAACATGTAAATAAAACATTAACCTTTATTTATTTTATTTTATATTGCCAAAGGAATTAAATTGAGAGAACGAAAACTTCCCAGATAGAGTGCATAGAGTGCCAAATGTCTGCACACTGCAATAGTCGTAATTCGTCACTTCCTCATATGTAATAGTACAAAGTTATTAATTAACATAAAATAGAAAATAGTAATTAAATTATAAAGAATTGCATATTGGTTTTTGTGTTTTCTTATAACTATAATTCAAGAGCTGCTTAGTTTCGGATTTCTTAAATCTATTTGACAGAACATTATATATTTGTTTATTTCTATTTAAAAGGACATATCGTGTCTTTGGTCATTTCATAAATATATTGACCTTATACCTACTTACATTAAGCAGCTTTAACAGCAAATTAAACATAGATACATATATAAACTGACATCAAATTTCACTCGTCATTACAACTATTGAATATATATCTGTCTGAATCAAAAAGGTAACGGTTGTTTTGTAATTACAATACAACTGTTCGTAACGTCTTAAGTTATTAAAATCATCGCTATCTCTAATCGTTGATTACCTGTCGATGTCCAAATTATGTCAGGTGTTATATAACTGTATCGATTACAATTACGAGTACAATCATATTATTATTAACATTGTCTCCTTCGAGAAAGGTGTTCGTTAATTTTGTCTTACATATCCAAGGTTGCACTTACTAAACTGTCGCTTCCAGGCATGCGTATGCAACGAACTGGTTACACACTTTTTTCACTTACATGCTTGCGAAAACTTTGTTTTGTACTATCTTTCCCTTTATAAAAGACACGTTATAACTATAACAATTATCAGTTACAGAACTACTCTCAAAGTACAAACAACTATTAAAAAATGATCTCAAAGGTAGTTATTAATAATATTTGAAAACAGTGCTCTTTTTAAAAAAATTGTGCTCTTTATATTTTAATACTAAACTATAAGTACGAATATTTTGTTCTAAAGACTTTGGACAAAACTTATTTCTTGTTATCATTTTTATTTCTAAGGAACTAAATGGGTTTAATACTTTTGTATCAAAGAATGCTTTAGTTATTATAATCCGAACAACGGAATATAACTGATGAGCTTACAATGAGAAAATCTAGAATTTTTATTTATTAGTTTATTCATAGCGCTATACTACTTCTATCATTACTTTCTGCAGGATTAAACGTCACTTCTACCATCATAATCATAAACCATATCTTTTACCTCCATTCATCATCTGCTTCTTCCCTATCCCATTTATTTGGGGTCGGCGTAATATGTTTTTCGTTTCCATTCATCCCTGTTCGCAGTCATCGCGTTATTTACTTCCTTTCTTACCATATCATCTTTCACACAGTCCATCCATCTCTTTTTCGGCCTTCCTCTGCCCTTATAACCATCCACATTCATTTGTAATAATAATAATAATCTTTTACCTCCATTAATGTCTATATATCTATACAATATTGCTGCGTACTACGTGACACGATTAATACTTACATAAAATAAACTTACATACTTTATAATAAAATTAAAATATTTACAGATCTTCTTCATTGCTGCTGTCGTTGCTGTATCTTCAGCGCGGCCCCAAGATGGACATGGTCATGGTCATGCTTACTCATCGCAGAGTATTGTATTGCACCAAAGCCACCATGAACCACAGCAACACGTGCCCATCCACCACGAAGTAAAGCCTGTCGTGCTTGTCCACCAGCCTGTACAACATCATCACGAATCTCCTAAACATGAGGAGCATCATGTAGATTATTATGTATGATTTTTTTAAATTATTTTATGCTTTTTAAATGTTGGTATCTTATAACTAAACTCAATAAACAATCTTCATCTCTAACGTAAATTATGTCAAGATAAACGGACATTAAATAGTCAATGTCTTTGCATGAATTCAGCTAATACATCCATATTGTCATAATAACGTAAGACATTAGATAAAAATATATATTTATGTAAGTATTTGGTTAAAATATAATTTATATTTGTTACACTCATATTTAACTTAAAAGTCCAATATGAAGAATAGAATAGAAATTTAGCAAGCTATATATAAATCTACTGTAATTTAAGCAATGCACAAAACTATTTCTAACTGAATATTCTAAACAGGCTATCCCTAAATACACATATGAGTACAAAATCGAGGACCCCCACACCGGCGACAACAAGTACCAGCACGAGACCCGTGACGGTGACGTCGTCAAGGGTGTGTACAGTCTGCACGAAGCCGACGGCACCATCAGGATCGTCGAGTACACAGCTGACAAACACAATGGGTAATTATCCAATCGCTCAGACTTTTACGAATAGAAAAATAAACTGTTGTGAAACTCTACTAAAGAGTTTTGACTTTAGTTGTATAGGCGTACACATTATAACTAAAAAAGAAATAAAGTTAGTCCCTTTAGTGGAGTACCATAATAAGAAAAAATACCTAAGTAGTAATACTTTTTCTTATGATAATATAAACCAAATTGTTGATGTAACATTATCATATGTAATATCTATATAAATAACGCATGCAAATCTGCAGTAAAAAAGTAAGTACTCGTAGGTTGGTAGGTACATGAGATAACTCATTGTTTATCTAAACACATTCTCTATATGGTTTCTGGATTACTAAAACACACAATTAATCGTCTTTGCTCCTAAAATAAATAAATTATTAATAATTTCTGTTCTAATTATGATCTCCTTGTTTCAGTTTCAATGCCGTCGTGAAACGTCAAGGTCATGCGCAACATATCATCCCCGAACATCATCATCATCAATAGGCTATTGAAATTGTTGATAACTGTTATAAAATATTCAAAGATTGTTGTCTGTTACAAGTACTGATAAAATAAATTAAGTTATTTTTATATTATTTCTGTGTTTCTTTTTCTTACAAAACTTACTAAGAAAATAATGCCTATCAATTTAATGCAAGAAAAATAACTTGATATAGTAAATCACTTCTGTTTTACGGAATTAACTTCTTTATTTGTTTTCTGTGCTATTGAGAATATAAGAATAAAGAAAACAACAGGTACATTTCAAATTAATATCTACAAGAGTTGTTTGTAAGAAAACTAATTATTTACATAATACCTACTACTTATTTATCTTCTTCCTAGCCCACTTTATGCAGGGTCGGCTCTCCTAATTATGCGGCGCTAGGACAATCTTTCCTGGCTTGTCGGGTCAGGCAATTTTTCCGCAGCGATTAGTTTACTCATGTTGATCCACCAGGTGGCTAGAGGAAATCCTCCACCTTTTTTACGCTCGGGTAGTCTTAAGGCTTTTTTGACCACATAAACTACTTGTATAATAAGTTATAAGGATTAGTATTCTATGGTAAAAAGTATATTTAATTTTTTTAATTACATATAAAAATTACTATTACGCTAAACTTTCTCTATGTGATTAAATAAAAGATATAAATAAGCCCATGTTCACGAACATGGGCTATTAATTATATTACAAACTATCTTCATGTTTTTCGTTAAGATGTGTTCAGCCGTTTAGTAGTAAACAAAGTAACAAACAGATAAATTCACATTAAAAACATTAGTACGTATGTACACCAATTAGTATTTATATTTTGTCGCGCCAATATTATTCTATTAATATTTTGAATTGACTGTATAATACATATGTATATACGGCAGAATAGGGGGAATAGAAATAAGGAAAACAAACGAACCTTGCAAATGGCAGGCCAACCCAGTTTGGCTCTGGTACCTTCAAGACTGCTTCAGTAGCAATCCTCGTCTTTAGCTTCTAGCACAGGGAGCGTTAGGGATGGTTTGTGCACGTGCCTTTTTTACATCGTAGGCGGGACGCGACCTCCTCTGGTATACTTACTTTACTTTGAACGCGACTACAGACAGTTACAAGGACTTGTTGCCGGTCTCGTACACTAATTTGGGAAACACAAACTGCATGAAAACCGTGATATCACTTATACATTGTCATTCCAGAGGACTTATATGTCATTCATTGTTTAATTAGAAAATAATATCTTTAAATTATCAGATTTTGAATGTATAAGGTTTTATCATCTTATTTGTATATTATTCTATTATCAAATAAGTAATAATATCTTATTATTATTGTTATTTATTATTATCTAGAACATTAGAGATTTTTTAAACTCATTATAGTCCGACCGTCCTCTAAACAGCTATAAAATGTAATAACAAATACAATCGAATTTATTTATATTACGTTTCTACTGATGGATACTTAAAAAGTGTTCGAGTCTAGTAATAGTAAAAAAATCGACATTGTAGAAGCAATGTTTACACTTACTTAATTTTGTTATAAACACTTAAGTAAGGTTTTCTGTTATTATAATACATTTTTTATTATTTATTCAAGTAACTAATTTAGATAACATTGGCAGCCAGCATATTTAAAAATATATGAAACTAAATTAAAATTATGCAAGTAGGTATATAACCTATCCTCATAATTCCCAGGTTGCATTAACATTTTATTATAATAAATGGAATATATATAAGAGTTTAGTATATATAATATGTATTAGATAAAAAAAATATACGGTCGAAATGTGAGCGAGAGGTATCTAGAACTGCTAGTGACAAATAAGTTCTATACTGAAACATGCATCTAAAGCAGCTTTAGCAGGCTTTTACCAAATTTTGCTGGGCAGGGAGAGAAATATAAGTGGTGAAGATGAGTGTTGACGTATGTCAGCAAAAGGGGTAAACCTACACCCGGGTCACACCTACACAAGTCATGGCAACAATTTCAAGTTTTCCTCTCTGCCGCACGACGTAACCTGCACCCGCACAGCGAATCCATATAATGCTAAGAAGTTCTCTCTCTTATCTAAATAATGTAAAAAGAAAACCTAACATAGAACACATTCAATATCACTCACTCAATATCTATGAACATTCTAATTAACAATTACCAACAAAACCTATTAAATGTGATATTGTTGTTGAAATATATCGATAATTCATTATCATAAAAGAAAATGTATGTATGTGTATGTAATATAATGTATATGTATGTTTTGAAATGTTGAATGTAACTATAAGAAGTAATATTTGATATCATTTGGTAGGTACAATTAATTAATAAATAGCAAATAGGAGAGTAGAGAGAATATTTCTTAGTAACATATTTTGCGCTACAGTTTATACATAATACATAACATATATGTATATCAAAGGCCATAATAAATACCTAGAATTAATTAATGTTGAAGCCATATGCTATATATGGGCAAAAGTACATTTTTTTTATTTGTCGTTCATAATCTCGAGGTTTTCTTAGGTTTTTAATAAAAAGTCCAAACTGAATATAATATTTTTATTATTATAATTACAACAATAATATAACAACAACATAACGAGTATTTAATTAATTATAAAATAGCATAACTAACCAATTCCTGATCTTGAGATATTTTTAGAATATAATATTAACTAGAGTCTAATTTTCATTGAGTCTTTATGTGAATATCTTCTAAAAATATCTCAGTAACAATTAGATACATTGAGACTAGTTATCAGTCGGATGGATGGTTTATGAATGATGTTGAGGAATAATGTGCTGGGCATGACCCTCACGTTTTACGACAGCGTTGAAACTGAAAAAAAAATGTTAATTTCATTATTTTGTCAATAGAAATGTTTTCTATAAATTATTCATTGAGATGAAGATGTAACATGAATCATGTTATTAATATTATAATCATGAAAAGGTAGTTAAATATTTTTGGATGTGGAACATCCAACATTCTTTATCTTTTGCATTTTTATCACTAAATCACACTTAAAAATCTGAACATATCGAATGAAAAATGATGCCAAAAATGGCGTATCTTAAATTAAAACATAAAGAGTATTTATTGTAATTATTCTAGGCAAAATTGTGGGCTACCGCTAATCTCTAAAGACAAAATGCTTAAATAAATGTAATTACCCATTGTGTTTGTCGGCCGTGTACTCGACGATCCTGATGGTGCCGTCGGCTTCGTGCAGACTGTACACACCCTTGACGACGTCACCGTCACGGGTCTCGTGCTGGTACTTGTTGTCGCCGGTGTGGGGGTCCTCGATTTTGTACTCATATGTGTATTTAGGGATGGCCTGTAAAACATAACAACACCAGTATATGTATGGTTGTTTGGTGTATATGCGAATTATCTACAAGAGCACATTTGCCTGTAATAATAATATAGTAACACTAATGTTATATCACCAGTCGCGACTTAATATATATTTTACATATAGTATAGTATTATGACGTAGTTATTTAATAATATATATGTAATACGTATGCTAGACTATCATCTTAGATAAGATAGTAAGATGCATTGTCAATTGTAAACAGTCATGCTCTGCTCACATCGCTGTGTATATTTAAACCTAACATGGCATGGACCTACCACCGGAACCATACCATGAATTTTTGTGTGTATACAAATTTAAATAAACAACTTTCAATTTCTATACTCAGATTTAAACTCACAACTTTCTTCGAAGTCTTCTTTCGAATCTATTACTACATAAACTACTATTAGATACCCATGTTTTTCATCACAAGTAAATATAATGTGACTATATCTTACATAGTAGTCGACGTGGTGTTCTTCATGTTTAGGAGATTCGTGATGGGAGACAGGTTGAACTACGACTACGGGCTTCACTTCATGATGAACTGGTACTTGTGATTCATGACCGTGAGATTGATGTAGTACGATGCTCTGTGATGAGTAAGCGTGGCCGTGACCATGGCCATCTTGTGGACGCGCGCACGCTACAGCGAGGAAAGCGAGGCAGATGACCTGAAGATATAATCAAAAAATATTAAGCATATGTTATGCATATAGATGACTTATGAAGATATAATATGTAAATAACAATATTTTAAATATAACAAAAAATACACAGCGCCATTAAGCATATGTTATTAACAATTATCTACTACGGTAGCTATATAATTATTTATATAATAAGTAAATATGATCATGAATAATTTAATTAAAATCGATTCAGCCATTTACTCGTAGGAAGATTACAAACAGATAGTCATAGACTTATAATACTATTTAGAGCCATAAAAATTGTAAGTATCGATAAAAATTTAAAATAATTTTTTTATCGATACATATAATTTATTACAGTTAATGAATGTAGGCATTATTCATTTTATTATTTACCTTGTACATGTTAGATAAATTCAATTTATAATAAGTATATTAATGAAATGATTAAAACAGTATTGGGTTGCGGTTGCTACCTGTCTGTTTAATTTACTACTTGAAATATCTTTTATACTAAAGAAATTGATGTTTACGCAAGCATTGAACTTGATCTAGAACAAGTTTAAAGAATGAATGAAATATATAAACCTGTATGTGCGTACATACATTATATTTTAATTCTTTTTTGCACATTAAGTTACATAAGAGAAAATTTCCAAATCTATTATAGCTGAACTTCATTTTTTACCGAATGCAGCACCCGACTTCACTTACGGTTTACGCTGGGGAAACACCATTATTGAATGATAAGATAAGCATGAGGTCAGGCCCATCGTAACAAATTCACAAGGAATTTATCACGATGGGCTCAAGGGGTAACCACGTGGAGATCAACCTGACTTGGTAATATACTAAGTCAGGTTACTCCATCGCTAGCAATAGCCAGCAATGGAGTAATTAATTCACTAACAATCCATTTCCCCCTGAACTTCATATTTACGAGTAGCATGGTGACACAATATAATATTCCCCTCCAATCCCTGTCCCTTTCAAACAGGGATCGAAGTCACAGCTCAGACTGAAGTTATTTCCGTTGGTATTTAGCCGCTCCATAAATCCTTTCGTGAGATTAGAGTGCCCTCTGTACTCGCACGCTCTTTCGTCCATTGAGGTCCTACAAATTACATAGTACGAAAGTCTTAATTTTAAATGTCCATTTAGTATAACTCGCCTTTTAATGCATAAAAATAGAATATTCTTCAGTATAAAAGCTATAGAGAAATTTCTTAAGTTCCATATTTTTGGTCATATTCATTTTATATTGCCTTTATATAAACCATTTAATTGAATGTTAACTTTTTACTTTAAACAGGTTAAGACTTAACAGATGCTTGTAAAATTTTACAGATAATAATATAAAAAATACATCATAACAATAAAAAACCATGAAGATAATTGAAATGTATATATAAATAAATGCAATAATGTCCTGTACGTGATAATGGCAAGTACACCAAATCAAGAATACGGCCTTCTTTTCAAAATTTTGATTTGCGCTATTCATTGCCATTATTAAAACTTAAGAAAATAAATCAAATAATGTCAATTCATGCTTTTATTTCTATTTTTTTATTTGTTATTTGCTATCAAAACACTGTACATGTCACATATAGAGAATAATACGAGTAGTTTATTGAGTTTATTTAACAACATACTTAGGACTATATAGTTAACTAGCTGGATAGTAGGAATTATCAAAAATACTATTCAAAAAAAGAATATACCTATACTTACTAATAAATAATTTCGACTTATCAACATATGTAACATAGTACTACAAAAAAGTTATCAAAGTTGCGCTAATGTATGATGTATGATATCTTTATGTCATTATTCTATTAAATATTAGATCATGACATCTATAAGTATTTAATTTGCATACATAAAAGAAACGAAGAAATTACATTTTGTGAAAGTTATCAACCTTCAGCCGATATTTTGGATTAAATTTAACCCAAAAATGAAAGTAGTGCGTTTAAAACTGATAATGCAATCATTGCTGTCTACATTGCATTACACATTCTACATTATTATCAGTAATATAAATACAATCAATATGTGAGATATAGTATCAGTTCAATAAATTAGTTGAAACAGCTAACAAATCCACCTCCAAAATGTTCATTAAAGTAAGAGTTTGAAATTCCTATTTTTAATAAAAAAAAATATATGAATAAACTTATAATAATAGCAATAATGTTACTAATGTTAACCCAGACCACCCTTCGCAGTAGCTTAGAAAAATGTCAGCGTTGTGGAGAACCCAACACACAATTTCGCAGGGTATATTGAATAACAACATAGCGAGCAAACCTATCCACGTTTCTCAGATTAAGTTGATTTGTTATTGATATTTTCAGAACCAGATAGTTAGTCTGAAAAAAGGCTTTTTTTAATAGTCACATTTTAGCTCATGACCATTGATCTACATCAATAATCGTGAATTCAAAATACTTCTATAAGTATCGTAGTAAATCACTGAGCCAATCGCTTTAATATAAATAATTTTACTTGTAAATTATTTTTAATAAGTTAAATCATTTACAAAGTGACATTTATAGTAGACACAATTGTCAACCAATAAATTTAATTAAATCTTAGTAAATATATTCGTAACATTATGTTATTTATTTTTAGATTGCTTGTATCATAGCCGTTGTGATTGTTTGTGAGGTGACAGCACAAAATCACCACCATAAGCCAGCTATTTCATCACAGAGCATTGAGAGACACGACATTCCTGCTCCCCCTCCTAAAGATTTCCTTGAACACCAGGTAAAATAACATTAATTAATTACGCTATTTTATATTTCTTCGCTATTTATAGTCAATATCTATAACTACTATTCCTCTTTCTCTCTGCTTATCTCCAGGGCCCAGCTAAGTACGAGTTCGAGTACAAAGTACACGACCCTCACACCGGAGACGACAAGTTCCAACACGAGACACGTGATGGTCATAACGTAAAGGGAGTGTACAGTCTACATGAAGCTGATGGATCCATCAGAACAGTACACTACACGGCCGATAAGAAACAGGGGTAAGAAGAGCATAACATATCTTATGTGTATACTCCAAAAATATATACATATATTTATTCAAATAGACTTAAAGAATTTAAAATAAGTAAATATTTTAAATATAACCGAATTATCAGTATAAAACAGAAAAAAAATAGAGTAATGTGTCATATATGATATGACAATAATTACATACCTGCATGTGAATATTGTATTAAGAAAACTCCTTATCAGAATACTCCACTAATGAAACAACCAAACTAAATACCGCTTAAAATAGTTCTCATCCGCATTACCCCATAGGAGACTGAAAATTTTTAGCACATTTTACTTTACCTTAGTAATATATGTACTCGTATTACGAATTAATAAAAACATTTATTATTTTCAGTTTCCAAGCCGATATTAAACACACTACGAAGCACGTGGAAGATCACAAACATCACTAGATAAAAATTACATAATAAAAGTGTTAATTGTACATATTGTTATTTAGTCAAGATATATTACAAAAATTATAAAATGTATGTTATGATTTTTATTTTCGAATCTTTTTTTATATTTCTAGTCCATAGAAATAACCCATATTTAAGAAATGATAAAAAATTTAACGCTTGCTAAATTACTCTTTATGATCCAAACTAGTTTTCAGAACATAATATTTCTCAATTGAGAGCTTTATTGATATATTATCAAGAAAATAACATAAAATAAAATAAATTGTTCGAAAATGAAATATACATATCTAATAATTCAAATAAGCTTATATAAAAAGCACGAAAGTAATTTCCCTTGTATCATATTATTCACTATATATTATAAAACAACGCTGTATGACCGTCCCTATGTATGCTTAATTCTTTAAAACGCACGCAACGGATTTTGAGGCAGTTTTTTTAATAGATAGAGTGTCTAGAGGAAGGTTTTTATATATAATTCATGTGCACCCGGGCGTAGCCGGGGCGAGTAGCTAGTATAGAAATAAAGCACAAATATATCGGTGCAAAAGAACAATTTAAAATTAATGAATGATGATGTGAATGAAACCGTAGACTGTAGTTTTTTTTAAGAAATATTTGTGTACTTATCTTCTCTATTCATAGATATAGTTAAAATTCGCTTGAATTCTTTTTTAATGCTTTTTGACTGTATGAATAACAGTGATATTATATTTTTTATAGTGCACTCCTGATTACTGCATACGTTCCATCATTTAGCATGAATACATAAACATTAGTTGAGTATCATAGAAGTTTGCTAGACATCGATATTATTATAGTATACATATATGATATGTGGTAATATCAGCATTTACCTAATAAATCTAATATAAAATCGAAGTAAAAACAGTGCAACATTAAAGAATTACGATGAAAATAGCCTATTATTTATCGTTTGTAAATATACTGTACTATAATTACTATACTTGAGAACAAATTCATATAATGTGATAACCGTCACTTAATGTAATCATTTTTTGTTAATAATATTAGCACCCTCCTGGGAAAACAAAAATAATTTCTAATAATTTTGATACAAAATAAAATTTCCAAAAACCTATCACACTGAAATACTAATGTGCATTATAAAATATATATTTTGGCATAAGGCCATAAATTTTCTCATCCAAAAAATAATATAAACAAAGAACCCTTATGACTATTGCCAGAAATTTTGAGTCAATACTTTTAGTTCTTTAATAATTATTCTATATACAATTTTCAAAATTGTACAATTAATAAATATACCTACATTACAACTCAAGCCATGAATAACTTTAACTCTTAGGTAGAAATTCACAGATGATATATTTGTGACACATGTTTTGATATTATTAGGCCTGAAATATAAAAATACGTAGAATTTTCATGTATTTTTATAATTTAAATTAAATTAAAAGAATTAGAAAGAACAATTGCTACAAGAGGCTTAATAACGATAATAATTCCAAGGTTGAAATGCTATAATGCCTCAAATGACGCAGCCAGTGCTATCAATTGACAAACCTGTCAATGACCACGCTCCCCTGGCAATGTCGCTCATGGTAGCATCGTCGGAATTATTATTATAATCTACCACACAATGTCATAGTGAAGCTGAAATAGAAATATAAATATTCTTCAAAAATAATTTGAATATTTATTTATATTAGTATATTTTTTTAATTTTACCACTCGTTCGGAACGCAGATTCGTCACAAGAAGAATAAGAGTGAAACTCACGCGTTGCACTTTTAAATATCTAAGTAAATACACATTAACGAGGATTCTAAAAAAAGATTGAAAGAATGAATTTAGAATGCTGTAATATTCTAAATTTATTTGACTTCATCTTCTTTGAATCTTTTTCTGGTAAATTGAGTACAGACTCTGGTAGATTGTTGTAGAACCTTACGAAATTTCCATAAAACAAATTAATAACTTTTGTCAAACTGCACTTATGTACGTTATTATTTCATAAATAATTAAAGAAATATAAACATGCATATCTTTCAGCTTTTTTTATTAATGGGTAAAGCGGGTTGTTTTTAATTAATATTAAATATCTACTATAGTACATTGGCTGGCACATGATTAGCAGAATACAAATCTATCTCAAATTATGACTAGAATTATTGTAAAATAATATTATATTTTATTGTTCCAGTATAGTATTTCTCTTTTCTGTATAATGGAAATTCTATGTATCTATTATATTACAATTACACGTTGTTGTATACATTAAGAGTAGAATTTTATTTTTCAAAAAAGCTCAATGGTTGTTATTCTTATGAACCGCCTAGTTGTACAGACGTTGATAGTCTTCCGTAACCGTTTACCATTAAATAGCCATACGGGCTTATTTGCTACTACTGTGGTATAAAATAAGTGCTAACTAATAAGACGTTTCAAATATAAAATGATAATAAATAGAAAGGAAACAAGTATACTTATTATTTTAAATATTTAATCAACAAATCAACAATAAGTAAATCAATCGTGTAACAATGGGCATTCTGAGATCATTAGTGATGTTTAGGTTCCACATGCTTTGTTGTGTGCTTGATGTCCGCTTGGAATCTGTAAATTAATATATTTATAAGAATAAATAACAAAAAAAAAATCAGTTAATAACGTAAATTTCACATAATTTAAAACATATCGAAAAATAGAAACATCCTCGTGTGATTACAAATATTATATCATAACGTATGATACCATATTTATATATATTTACTAGCTATCCCGGCAAACGTTGTTTTGCCTTAAAATAAAAATAAAAAATGTAGGGGTGAACTACCCCTAACATTTAGGGGGATGAAAAATAGATGTTGGCCGATTCTCAGACCTACTCTATACGCTCACAAAATTTTATGAGAATCGGTCAAGCCGTTTCGGAGGAATATGGGAACGAAAACTGTGACACGAGAATTTTATATATAAGATTACTAAGAACTATTTATTATATTGAGATAATAATAAATTTCGGATAATTTCCTTACTAAAGTCTTTTTTTTTAATTAATTATTTTGCACTATTAATGTAAAGTAAATACAAAGTTTCTTACCCCTGTTTTTTATCGGCCGTGTAGTGTACTGTTCTGATGGATCCATCAGCTTCATGTAGACTGTACACTCCCTTTACGTTATGACCGTCACGTGTCTCGTGTTGGAACTTGTCGTCTCCGGTGTGAGGGTCGTGCACTTTGTACTCGAACTCGTACTTAGCTGGACCCTGGAAACAAAGAGAGAGAGCAATGGTTGTTATAGACATTGACTGTTCATAGATAAAAAACAAGACAAAGCTAAGAAGGTACATGAATCTTACCTGTATAAAAAGAAAGAACAACAGTTGTTACATGAGATGTATTTATTATGACAACGAAAATAAAAAATGAAGTTATATGGCTATGCATAAACATGAGCATCATATGTTGAGGCGTACATTTACTATGAACAGCATATTTCCGTAGTACTGTTCATACATATATATAATGTAGCATATATAACTGTTGATACAGTTGGGTAAAACCTAGTCTGTCATTTCATTGCATTAAAAAAATACAATAACACAGCAAAATTTTACCTGGTGTTCAAGGAAGTCCTTCGGAGGGGGAGCAGGAATATCGTGTCGCTCAATGCTCTGTGATGAAATAGCCAGCTTATGGTGATGACTTTGAGCTAACGCACCAACTATTACTAAGGCAAGCACACAAGCGATCTGGAAAAATGTATTAGATTAATGTCAATTTATTTCATAATTATTACGAACAAATTTCCAAATTAACTATTAAAATATATTATTGACAGCCTCAGTAGTCTAGCAGTATAGCGTTTCTGCTTTTCTGGTAGTAGCTGGTTCGATTCCTCGCACGGTACAAAACTTTTGTATTCATGAGTATTGTTGTTTGAATCGGTCTGAGTATTTTCTATTTAAATTATGTGTGTAGTTAAAAAAAACTATCTATGTATTGCTATCAGTTATCTAGTAGGCACCCAAAACATAAGCTCTGCTTAGCTTGGGACTAGATGGCGCTTTGTGAATTGTCCTGAGATATTATTAGTAAATAAAATAAAAATTACTTTCAAAGACATTTTTAGCAGTCAAACAATAGTTTAGTAATTTAAATTCTTTGTTCTTTATTGAACCAACTGACTTATTGAACTGATTGCTCTTTATAATTAATCAACTATTTATACTTTTACATTAATTAAAACAGGATTATTACATTATCACATTGAACATGACCGTATTATATGTATATGCCAGTAACTGTGTGAAAGAATATGATTTGTTACTTTCACCTATTGCATTTTTATGGACTTTCAATATAATTTGTTTATCTAATATAAATAACAATATTTGTAAAGATGTTTATTGTTCACCTTCACAGATGATTATAGGGGTTAAATATGTTATAATTGAAAGAAGTGTCTTAGAACTAGTTAAGTATGCTCTAACTTATAGTCATTGAATATATCTAAGCGTTCACTAAATACGTCATTACTTTTAAATAATTTAATTTATTTAGTGCATGTCCAGATTAACCAAACCACAAAAACTCGCTTCAATTTATCTGCAGAGCAACTAACGGATGGAGAGAAATAAAAATAAAAGTCCTGGACAATCCACAAACAGTCATCTAGCCCCAAGTTAAGCAGAGGTTGTGTTATGGGTACTAGGCGACTGATAGATGTACTTAAATACATTCTTTTTTGGAATGACATACGTTATATACGTAGAAAACACCCAGATCAATACAAAACAACAGATACATAAATAGAAATATTTGCATCGTGTGAGGAATCGAACCCGCGGTTATCTGAAGTAGGGCGGTATGTTAAATCGCTAGACTACTCGGTAGTCTAACAATTTATCTGAAAGAAGATTTGTGAGGTTATCCTCTAATTCATATATGTCCAGCGAAACGTGGGAATGCCAAGTGTTGCATTTACTAGGACTCAATATTTGACAATAACTCTGACTACCCGAACTGGGATAATAACCGTGATGATAAATATATATATTGTATGTACTACTATTGGCAACAGACCTTTTATATTTTCTTATTTCGATATAGGTATGTTTTTTATATTCATTTTTTTACTTCTATATTTTTTGCTTAGTTCTACCATATCATTTTGACAAATATAGTAATAAAAAACACATTCACTGCTTTGCCACCCGATTAACTACAATTTAAAGAATGTTTCAAAGAACGTTATAGAGATCTTTAAACTTACAGAGATTCCACAAGTATAATAAATAAATAAATTTATGGTATCATAAATATCCGTACAAATAATACACTAGCAGTTATGTAAAAGTTAACGCATGTAAAGTGCAATAAAAGAAAGTAATTCACCTTCGAAACCTTTCAACTTAAAATAATATGCCTAATATTTATATTTCAATCAAGTTCACAGTGATAATGCAATAATCCTGTCCACGGTGTTGAGTAAACATAAATTATCTACTATAAATATGTTCACTGATTGAAACATTATATCATTGTCACATGTTTTTTACAATAAGCTACAACACCAACTGTTTATTCAGAATGTTCTTTAAAGTAAGAATAAATTTATTTAATATTTGACTAAATTAATTACAGTACATGAAATGGGAAACAATCTGACAGCCCATCACCTGCATACAATAAAATATTAACAGGACCACACCACAGATATCATATCGTTTAAATGATATCTGTGGTACCGCTAACATATTGTCGTTCCCGAAGACTATGGTATCTTGCCTGACATTATTAATTTTTATTATTTTATATTTATATTTGTTTCCAGGTCGCTTGTATCGTCACCCTTGCAGTAATTTGCGAAGTGTCAACTCAACATCACCATAAACCAGCTATATCATCACAGAGCATTGAAAGACATGACATTCCTGCTCCCCCTCCTAAGGATTTCCTTGAACACCACGTAAGATTAATTTATTGAGCTATTTTATATTTCTTTTCTATTGGTCATCAATATCTATAATTACCATTGCTTTCTCTCCTTGTCACCAGGGTCCAGCTAAGTACGAGTTCGAGTACAAAGTGCACGACCCTCACACCGGAGACGACAAGTTCCAACACGAGACACGTGATGGTCATAACGTAAAGGGAGTGTACAGTCTACATGAAGCTGATGGATCCATCAGGACAGTACACTACACGGCCGATAAGAAACAGGGGTATGAAACTTGTAGTACCTTATTTGCAATACTTTAAATAAAATAGTTATGAAAACTAATTGCAGTAGAAGGATACATTTGTAGCGATCTTCTATCGTAAGCTCTAAATTATTATACCAGGCAGAGCAGTCTTTATCACCTTTGATGTTGTTATATGAATTATATACCTATATATAAAGTATACCTATAAGTAAAGTCTCAGCACATGTCCTATATCATTTTCTAGTACTATTTTTTAATAGAAAAAATATATATAGCACGTATTCTAATATTACATTTACTTACTACATTTATCATATTTTATTTTTTTATTTTACAGATTCCAAGCTGACATCAAACACACAACAAAGCACGTGGAACCCAAACACCACTAATGATCTCCTTTTATTTTAAAAAACAATAAAGTTTATCTGCCTAATTGTTGATTACATTCATAAGTAATAAAAGTCATAAAATAATTTGGTATTATTTAATTTACCCAAGTAATGTAATTAACAAACTTTTGAAAATTTAACTATTAAAAAAAAAACGTACCAAAATTCTAGTAATAATAAGCAGTTACTTAAAAGAAGCAGTAATTGTCGAATGATATAAAACGCTTACCTATGTCATTATCGTCATTTAAATTCTTAATCAAATAGAGCATCTATAAATATAGTATTTCTATAATTTGCGAGTACTATTTGATAACGCTCAATTATTAAATTAAGGTTTTTATTAATATTTATTGATCAATATTAAAGTTAATAATTTTGAATATGATAAAAAAATTAAACAATTAATTATATTAATTTATAACACGATTAATTTGTGACATTAATATTAGATATAAAAAATCTCAAGTTGCAATAACAGTTGTCATACACCTCCGAAACGGCTTAACCGATTTTAAAGAAATTTTATACTCAATAGGTCTGGGAATCGGCTACTATCTATTTTTCATACCCCGAAGTGATAAGGGTTATCTACCCGTAACATTTGTTTTTATTTTTTTGGGCAATTTTTATTAGAATTTTTTATAATGTGGCATTTCAAAATACATATAATCCTAAATTTGCACCATTTTTTACCCACCCCTATTTATTATTTTAATCTATACAGTATAACAACGATTGGCGGGGTCAGTTAGTCATTATTTTGAAGAGATTTTTTTTAATAGATAAAGTGATTCAAGAGGAATGTTTATGTGGAGATTTAGAGCTTTTTGTAGAGCTTAATATTGCATGTATTTATTCAATATAATGTCTCCTATATAAATTGACATAATGTTATATTGTATTAGTACATGTCGTTACTTTAAACACAATTCCGCATGCACTAGATTTATTTCAGAATGCAATTAATGATGATAATGAACTGACCTGATGTCGGGGTTCGTATGAGGAAAATGATATTACAAAATAATGCAACACCAATTGTATTTAAACATATTTAATTTCTATATTTAGTAAATAATAAAGTTAGCAACTACTAATTTGTATATATTAGAATACAGGTCTACGAAAAGAATTAAGCTCTTCGGCTTTAAAATAATCTTCAAAATATAACACAGTAATAACGATAAATAACAGCAGCATACAGCTGAAAAAATATTTTTGTAGGTAGTAAATTCAACTTGGTTTTGTTTTCTTCATCTGAGTTCCACCATCATATGTATTTCTGTCATAGATAGCTGTTTTTATATAAATGTACATATACAAATAAGCAGAATCGCAAAGCAGTAGCTATGTCATAAGTAATACAGTATATTCTGGTTTATCCATGATAATATTTATCAGATGGCATTTACTATACATCATGTAGGCTTGAACTTATTTGTGGCTCTATCCATTTATTTAATATTTCTTAAAGAAACATAAAACAATATATTAATACGATCATTTAGTATTATTGTGTATCTTTATTTAGACAATATTGTAGCTGTTTATAAGTAGTATTATAATAATAATCGTAAAACGTACTTAAATTTGAAAATCCTCAATGAAGAATTATTGACGACACTAAAATTTATTACTTTTAGTCGTGTAATGAAATACAGCTATTTAACTATGATCTTTGGAAAAAGTGTTTTTTACATAATTGGAATGGTAACATATTGTCATGTGACATTCGTAGTATTATTTATAGGTTACCATTCCAAAGCTAAGATGTTATGTCTCTGAACCTGTAATTTTACTATACCTAATAATAGATTATTAGGTATAGTAAAATTACATTCTACAACAGAAACACAGTTCACATAGCAAGCTGTATGTATATGATGTACCCACGTATACGACTTTTAAAGTCTATCAGAGGTAAAAGTTGTCTGTGTGGTATTAATTATCATATGCTAATAAACTAAGCTCAATTTCAATATCGGGTCATCGGGCTCTCTAAAATATGGTCGAGCGCAGTGATGGCTGGCTCATCCGTCATACTCGTGAACGAGTGCTACTTGTAGGGACTGGTCTGCTCTTATCACTACGACTGATTTAATCGTATTGTGTTTTTATATTTAAGCCTAAATGAATTAGTGCTGGTTGGTAGTTTGTATTCACACGTTTCGACCTGTAAAACAAGCATTGTTTAAAAGAGCAACACACAACTTTCTTGGTTATTCTTCTTGTGATGAGACAGCTTCCCGAATATGCGGTAGATTTAAAAAAAAATTTTGACTCTTCAAAAGTGCTTAAAGTAAGTAAGTTTATTTGAATAAATGATATTCTGTTCTATTAATAGTACTAATAATGTTATTTAAACTGAGCTTAGTATCCATCCGTCATGTATGTCATTTCATATCCTACAAATGAACGTTGCTCACCATATTTTTGCATTTATAAAATTTTATTATCATCATCCTAGATGATAAAATTACGTATAACGGGGTTCCGTATATATTGTTTTGTGTCATGGTATTCCATCCAGTGATTCGAGCACGAGTCTGTTAAATGTTTAGTTATGGCAGATATCTGTTTGCTACTATCTTTTACTCTTTTGATATACTTCTAAATTTGATTTGCCATAGTTCGCTTAGTTTGACTTACATGTTACCACAGCTGTAATCTGTTTTATATACAATCAATCTATTATATATTCAATACAATGCCGTGATTTATTATACTAGATTGACATAAACAATGGTCGAATATCTTGTATAATATGTCCAGACAAATGGTGCCGTATACAAAATATATAAGGAAGAGAGCAGTGATGGCTGGCTGGCGGATAAGCCAACTATACTACTGCTTGTACAGAGTGCTCTGCTCCAGTCACCACGACTGATTTGCTCTTATTGAGTTACTCAGCCAGCTAGTTTTGTTTTTAATATTTCACACTAATGAATTAGTGCTAGTTGGAGTTTGTATCCACATATTTCAACTTAAAAATGGAATGTAACGACTAAAAAACAACAAAATTAACAAGCAAAAAAAAGTGCAACAACCAATTTTATGTTTGTTCTTCTTGTGATAAGACATCTTTCCGAATTATCGGTGGATGCAAAAATAAGAATGATTATTCAAAATTATTTATCTTTAACTTAATTTGAATAAATATTTTCTGTTCTATTGGTTGGTTTGTTTGATTGCTAGTTATTATTTAATTAGGTATTTACAATATTACAGACGACTAATATGAAAAAGACTATATGAATAGAAATGGTAGTACCATTTGTATTAACAGATAAAATAATATATGCATACGTACTATGCAATAAAACCAGTTATATGCTTAGGCCTAAGACCCTAATAAGACATAAATAGAATTATTAAGAAATTTTAATTGCAATGACAAAAGTAATCGAAGGAAAGTAACTTGCCTTCGAACCCCAAATTTTGGTTTGAAAGCAAAACTAGGACATATTACACATATTGTACTTTTATTCGACTTACATGAATTAAACAGTATAAATTCGATTACCAATTTTCATTTGATATCAGTAGACAAAGCAACTTCACATCGACAACTAACAAACATGTTTCTTAAGGTAAATAATTTAGTGAATTATACATATAAATATTATAATGATATTTGTCACAATTTACAATTTCAATCAAAATATTGTGACCCCGCGGTCTAATCAATTTCAATGAAACTTTTTTATAATTTAAACAAACATAACATATCTATGTTTATTATTTTTATTAGTATCTTATTGCCCTAGTCCAGTTATTTTAGCATCGCCGTAATATTTTAACCCTGTTACAGTGGGTTACAGCGTATACATTTATAACCGCCAGGTCGGCCTGACAAAAACTTAATTAAGCTTTTTTTACCTTTGCCATCACTCGTACACCCATCACCGAATTAGAGCACATTAAAGAATTATCATTTTAGCTCAAAACTTCCATAAGTAAACAAATAAAAGTAATACCTTAAATTAAGTTTATGTATAAAATAGTAACGTAAGTTGTAACTATGATCTTTTTCAGAGTATTGCTGTCATCGCCATATTAGGCGCCTGCCAAGCAGTGGAACATGCATATTCTTCACAAAGTATTGTTGTTCACCATCCCGAGCCCAAACATCATGAGCCTGAAGCCAAGCACATAGAAACCCCTGTAGTGATTAAAAAAGCTGTTCCAGTCGCCCACCACATTGTAAGTTCGAAACATGAAGAACACAAGCCAGCCGTTTCGTCACAGCTCTTTGAACGTCACGATGTACCTGCTCCTCCACCAAAAGGATTTTCCGAGCACCATGTAAGTGAATTATAAAACATTCTGTTTTGCTGAATAATTTACTATGATTAGTGATAATAATTTGTGGTAATTCAGTTGTGAATTAATAATAATGAGTTAATTGACATTGTTAACTTCATAATCATCTGTATCAATAGATACCCTAATAGCATACGCTGGACGTCATCCTCTAGTAGTACTAGCATATCCTGTTCATACAGGCGGCAGCATCATTCTATTACCATTCAAAACAGTACTATTATCAATTGTTACTACTATCCACCATGATAATTGTCAGCTGTTTTTCGACCATTTCGATTACCACCTCAGAAAGAAGAATTCAAAAATATTATTTAACATAGTTTGTATCATAACTGACATTACACAAATTTAAGTGATGGATATATTACTGTATTTCATTTCCAAATTAAACATTCGATTAAGCATTGAAGGATTCGCTAAAGCATTTAAATTGTATTCCCTGCACCCACATTCAGTAAAAATAGTAGTCATTATATTAAGCTATAATTGTAATATCCACATAAGTAATTATACCTAATACTTTCCAGGGTCATGCCAAGTACGAGTTCGAGTACAAGGTACACGACCCTCACACCGGTGATGACAAGTTCCAACACGAGACACGTGACGGTCACCAAGTTAAAGGAGTCTACAGCCTCCACGAGGCTGATGGATCTGTGCGTACCGTTCACTACAACGCTGATAAAAAGACTGGGTAATCATCACTATTATATTCTACATTTTCAAATAATAGATCAAACTAATATTATAAACTTGGAAGTTTGTATGGATGGATGGATAGATGGATGTTTGTTATTCATTATTTATGTTACAATAATGTAACTATACATCAGAATAACACATAGGCTATAAATTTCACGCAGGTGAAATCGCGGGTATAACTAGTATTATCATAAAAACAAAAATTTATTACCACTTATTTTTTAAATTAATCTACAAACAAAGGAATGTGATATAAATATTATACCTACTTTGTTGCATAATAGTAGAATTAGTGTTACTCTACAATTTAGCACAACACTTGAACAACCTATATATTATATTTTTATTTTTTAGATTTCAAGCAGATATAAAGCAGACCACAAAACATGAACAGAAACATCACCATTGAAAGAAAATATTTATTTATTGCTTAGTTCGAAATGTACCTTATTTATTTTAAATATAAAATTTGAAAGTTAAAATGTATTTTTTTGTTGTTCATAAAACAAAGTTGATTAAATTATAAGACTTGATAACAATGTCCTACAAGCCTTTAATATAATAAGGTAACTTATAGTCTTGTAAATTAATTAAAAGATATTTACGGTTAATTAATTAAACAAAAATCTCGTCTTTTATTGAAGTAGTTGATAAAAAATTCAATTCCTTTAATAAATATACCACGTACTACTTACCATTCAATATATTAAACTGAATTGGGGGTATACCGATTACCAATATTGGTAATTAGTTAGGATGTCAATTTTACTTTTCTGCCTTAATTGGCAAACAATTAAAGTTCTGGTTATCATAAAGGTACAACAATTACAGTATTCAACCAAGACCTTACAAATATATATTATCCATTTGCATTTCGATATCTCAAGTATTTTACTTTTTACACCATGTTTATACTGTATATTGACAGTCTGTGCCAAATTGTAAACTTTAATATAGAGAACAATTATATAAAATTATCAAAACACATCTCTACAATAAAAAAAAGAATCAATATTAATAACAATATGATGAGTTTTGTAAATGAATTCCCTTGCCAATATCGAAAACTGTCAAAATTATGTACTTGGCATTTCAGTATTATCTCTTTACTCCCTTTAGGATAAAATTGCGCAAATTTATTGTTACTTAACGTTTTACATACCGAAAAATTGTTACTTAATAAAAATAATATTAATTTATAATTGAAATGACAGTAAATTCATTATTTATGTTGCTATTAACATTATATATGTGTTTCTTAAAAATAAAAAATATTGTTATGTTAAACGTATATATTTAATTTACCGCTTTAATACGTTATTGGGTGATATCTTAATTTCTCTAACTAATAATCAGGTAAGTAATTTATCATCAACACTGTATGGCAACGATTCTAACACAAGAAACAAAGGTCAAGTCAGGGTTTACACACATGTGTATTACTTTACATAGAATATGTGTATAACTAATATTTTAATAGTATAAGATAAATTAGCTTTATATGCATAAGTCAAAAATAATAATATAGTATACCTTTAACATACTTGGTAAGGTTATTGTTAAGGTTAACCCACATTATTATGTACTGAATAATTGTTCTATATATTTTAAACCAATCACCATGGCATTGTAATTAAATCCCGAATGACCCATAACTGAAGATAGATTAAGCTCATTATATGACTTTCTGACTGGCCGACCTTGTCACACCCAAAACTGTACTACTATAAAAGCGGTTGGTTGCATATGAAGTGCATCAGTTGTATCCTACAATTACAACAATATGTTCTCCAAAGTAAGTTCAAACTATAAATATAAATTTATACAATTAGTTGCCTAAATTATATGTACAATAATACGAGTATAACGAAAATACCCCATTCTCAAACTGACAAACTATTTGATTATCCCATCTGGAATAATTATAATATAACGACTCTATTTTAAATTTCAGATCCTTTCTTTGAGCGCTGTGCTCGCCATCGCCGCGGCTGGGCTCCTTCCAGAAGCCCATTACTCGCCAGCTGCTGCCGTCTCTTCTCAAAGTATCATCCGCCATGACCAACCTCATGCTATTGCTACCAAATACGTAGCAGCACCGGTGGCTAAATTAGCAGTATCTGCCCCAGTCTACCAAGCCGCTCCTGCCGTAACCTACCACGCGGCTCCTGCCCCCGTCGCTTACCACGCTGCACCTGCCCCCATCGCCTACCACGCTGCACCTGCCCCCGTTGCCTACCACGCTGCTCCAATTCAATACTCTTCCGCGAACGCTGTGTCATCTCAAAGCATTGTGAGCCACTCTGCTCCCATCGCTAAAGTCGCAGTAGCCGCACCCGTGGTGAAATACGCAGCGTCTGCACCCATTGCGTACTCTGCTCCCGTTCACTACGCTGCACCAGTCACTAAAGTGGTCGCTGCTGCCCCTAAAGTTCTCGTCGCTGCACAGGAGGAATATGTAAGTAAATTATAACTATTTACAAACTTTGAATTTTTTAGGATACAAATAAGTTTTCTGTACTGATTTTTGAATTAAAACATGTATACAAAATCTTTAATTTATAATATTAATATTAATACGAAGCATGTAACTATATACTATACAGCCTCGTTACTCGTGTATTTCTTCTCAGAAATAGCTGAGGCATTTCTACTAAATAAATATAGTAAGAAAAGCTCGTTCTACATATAGTTTTATAAAATGTGGTATCAATCTTTTAATATTACGAATAAATATTATTGTTCTTTGCTTTCTTCTCTAACTTTAAATTGATTCGATTCCTGGTGATGATCATAATCATTTATTCCACAGTCTCACCCTAAATACGACTTCTCTTACTCCGTTGCTGACGGACACACCGGCGACAACAAGTCGCAGCACGAAAGCCGCGACGGAGATGTTGTTCACGGTGAATACTCTCTGCTGGAAGCTGATGGTTCCATCCGTAAAGTGCAGTACACCGCTGACGAACACAACGGTTTCAATGCAGTAGTGAGCCACTCTGCTCCCACACAACATGCGGCTCATGCCCCCGTCCTTCTCGCTCATCATTAATTTTACTCGTAATTATTAGACCACCTACAATATACTGTTAATGATTCTAGTATGTAAGGACCAAGACTCATTGTAAATAGTTCATATTTATTTTGTAAATATATAATGCAAATTATAAAAGGTGCTGTCTCTTTTCTTAGTACAAAATACGTACGTACTTTACCGCGGTTTTCAGAAGCAAGGTCTCTTCTTGTATGTCACTAAATAATAAATATCTAACGACCCACCCGTTGGAAAGTGATGATAGTTGCCTAGTCGAAGCGTCCAACAACAAGTGTATGAACCACCATATCAAAATTACATTAGAGCTATCCCATTAACATGTTGTCTTGCTTTATCATTCCTAATTTAAAAGTACTGCAATTATAGTAGAGAATAAAGAAAAAGTCACATAACTAATTAGTAACATGTTTCACTCAGTTAACGTTTATTAGTACTGTTTATAGAATTACAAAAAGACAAGTGTTAATTTTCTAATTTTAATTACATTTATAGCAATTAATTTAAAATGTCGTATTACATTTTAAACTAACTTTCTACACGTTTTAAACTTTATAAAAAACACAAATAAAATTTAATCCCCTGTTAGAATATATTTTATTACTAGCTGAGTACGCAAACGTTGTTTTGCGATATAAATTAAAATCACTATTAAAAAATTGGGGTTGGTGATAGAAGAGTGAAAATTTAAGGTTATATGTAAAAATAAAAAAATTTGTTGAAAAAATAAAAAATAAATGTGGACAATCCTTAGAGATACAAATACTTTCACTTAGAGATACAAATAGATAGTATCCGATTCTCAAAGCTACTGAATATGCGTCTAAAATTTCGTAAAAATCAGTTAAGCCCTTTCGGAGGAGAATGTTAACAAATACTGTGATACCAGATTTTATATATTAGAAGACTAGCTGTACCCGCGACTTTGTCCGCGTGTAATTTAACAAGAAGGTAATTAGAGAAATTTTCTAAAATAAAAGTAGCCTAAGTTACTCCTTACTACATCAGCTTCCTGCCAATAAAAGTCCCGTCAAAGTCTTTCCAGCCATTTTAGAGATTAGCCAGAACAAACAGACAGACAGACAAAAATTGCAAAAGATGCTATGTTGGTGTATGTACCGTATTTATATTCATATGCATGTAGTAAAAGGCGCTTATTTCAATATTACTAATAGACACTCCAATCTTATTTATATGTATAGAAGTATAGATATGTTATACATTCCATAACTTACATTGATTTGAATTTTGATTCCATAATTGATAATTTAAAAATCTATGTTCTACTCATTGTGTAATATATACTAAAATACTGTTCTGACTAAATATAAATATATTTATACATATTATATTCATATACATAGCACCTAATAAATATTTATTAGATAACCTATAACATTTTCAAGTTCCGTATTCTTATAAATTATTGAACTACAGCCAAGGATTTAGTTATCAATATATTAATATTAATAAAATAAGATACAATAAGTGTGATAATAATGAAAAATATAAAAACAAAAATTCTAATAATACCAATTATTTTTCATCATTTCCATGCCTACTACGAAACTTCCTCTAGAAAAGAACTTAATAAACTTACAGTTAGGTTATTAATTTAACTTAGAAGTTTAATAATAAAATTATTATTCGTTACCGTTGGATAGCTCACGGTAACGAATATAACCACTACAACAAACGTTTTGTTGAAAATAACTTCTAATGTTATATAATATTCCTAGTTATTTTAAAATATGGTTTACGACTAGATATTTGTTAATCAAAATTAATTATTTGAAAGCTTAAAACTCTGTTGTACTTAGCATTCATTATTCTATGATATTGTATTCATAACGTAAGACTGCGATTTTGCTAATTTGTGGATTGGTAGGACAAACAAAACTTATTTTGCAATACCGAGTTTAAGTATTCATAAGTTTGTACAGAAAATCGTTACTACTCAGAGTAGTAGAGTAGTATTACCCTACTCCAAAAGTGTTGGCCTTAGAAATAATAATAGTTTAATAAATTATCAATAAAATAGGATATTTTCCATCTTCTAATACACTTTTATTATAAATATATATAATGAAAACTATATACACTGACATTCTCGGAAAAAAATCCACATTTGTTCTAAGCTCTGACATTAGAAATATATACTCTACAGAAAGATTAGGTAGTATGTGTATCTAAACATTATCATCATCTAATAACAACTGTGAGTATATTTTTCTAATACTATATTTTCTATGAACTGAACTGTTTTGGTTTCCCAGAACTTAATTTATTGTGTAAGAAGAACGGAGTCAGCGGCGATGCGCTGCGCAGGAGCACTTTTGCTCACTACAGCATTGAACCCATTGTTGTCATCAGCCGTATACTCCACTTTACGAATAGAACCGTCAGGCTCTACTAACGAATATTCTCCGCGTACAACATCACCGTCGCGGCTCTCATATTGTGACTTGCTATCACCTGTATATCCATCAGCCACAGAGTAAGAATAGTCGTATTTAGGATGAGACTGCAATAAAAATATTAAATGTCTAATTTATGCATATAAATATTTAATTAATTACCTTAGCGATCACTGATTTTGAATTTACATTTAGGCCATGCTTTTCACATAATCTTATTAACATTTTATTCAATTATTACACTATTTCTCAATTGCTTCCGTTTTAAGTAAAACATCTCTAACTTATCGTATTTCAGTAGTAAGATATCAATATAAAATATATTTAATAATAAGTATGGGATATATAGAATAATTGCACTACTTACATATCGTTCCTGTTTAGCAATAACAACTTTTGGTGCGGGAGCGGTCAGCTTGACCACTGGAGCACTGTAATATACGGGTGCAGAATAAGAGACAGGAGAAGCCAGTGCGTATTTGCTGATAGGAGCAGTAATGGCGACTTTGGCAACTGGTGTGGAGTGGCGGACTATGCTCTGGTATGATACAGCATTAGAAGAGGAGTATTGAGCAGGAGCAGCACTATAGGCAACAGGTTCCGATGCTACTTGATAGTTGATAGCGGGAACAGTGCTATATATGGGGGCGCTAACTGCTACTTTAGTGATCGGTGTATAATAGCGAACAATGCTCTGAGAAGAAACAGCATTAGAAGAGGAGTGTTGGAGAGGGGTAGTGCTGTAGGTGACTGGTTCAGATGCAACTTCGTAGGCGACAACAGGAGTATATACTGGAGCCCCAACTGTTACTTTAGTCACTGGTGTGGAGTGACGCACGAAACTCTGTGAGGAAACGGCACCCGCTGAAGAATAATAAACTGGGACATTGTAGGCTATGTTAGAAGTATCTTGGATGGCAACTGGCGTCGACACGTATTTGGACGTGATAATTTGTGGTTGATCATGACGAATTATGCTTCGAAAAGAAACTGCTGCAGCAGCAGAATAATGGGGTTCTGGTAACAAACCAGCTGTTGTAATAACCAACACTGCACTCAAAGTCACTACCTGTAATATACATATAGTTGTTATTAAAAAATGTATCACCGTGTTTTTGTTATAATAACATTAAATTTTTACTCACTTTGGAGAACATAGTGAGTCCTTCGTTTCGACTAAAACTGAATCATAATCTGTTAGAAAAATTGTTTTTATAGTAATATGTTTATTGATTTCTGATGCACAAGGTTAACATGTTACTGGACTTATACATATGTATTTCTGTAAACTAACTTAAAATACATCCTTATTTGCCAAAATTATGGTCACAAAAAATTGGCTTCGATATGACATAACTACAGTTATCAAAAACTGTCTTCAATATGACAAATATCAACTATAGTTATTTTTTCCATTGATATAATACTAATTATATTAATGGAAACTATAGCTATATTACTGAAAAGTTTCATTAAAATCCGTTCAGTAGTTTTTGCGTGAAAGAGTAACAAACATCCATACGTAAGTATGTTAAGCTTTCGTGTTTATAATATTATAAAGTAAAGTGTTTCTAATGTAATCTTGGGTTACTTACAGAATCGACTCACGAAGAAACTGCCAGTTTCGTTAGGAGTAAATTCTGCGAAACGGGTGGGTTTGAAATGGCGACACCGATATCGCTACAAATCTATCTATAATCTAAGATCTAATAAACGATCCAGGGCACTAGCCCGTACTATTCCATATTACTCCTGATTTTAGTATCGTGTGTAGCTGGTTATAATCTCATTTATCAATATCACTATCTACCAATGCTTACCTACTGAAATAAAGGATCAGCATTGCATTGTCTTAATCCATATTAGAAATCAAACATATTACTTATCAACCGTTATATCTGAGCGTACGTAGAGTACACTTTTTATACA